TCTCCACCAGCTCGGTAGAAATGCCCTGAAGAGGCATTTCCGGCTGGGATGCGCTGCGGATGCGTTTTCAATGTGCTTCCCGCTGGGCTTCCTTGCAGCTGGAAACGCACTGCGGCACGACAGCAGAGGCAGTGTCTTTCTCAGTTGATACCGAAAACGCCTGCGCGCCATCGCGGCAGGTGAACTCTGTGAAAAATGTTCCTTCTAGCGCAAGTTTGCGATGTCACACCCAGCGGGCGAAGCTATTCGAATCTCGTACAATTTCTATACCCCCTTCCCCTCTTCCTCCACAAAAAATCGCAGGTTTTCCAACAGACACAGCTCCGGGAGTGGATTATGGATTGCAAAAGTATCGCACTCGTCCTAATGGCGTTTATGCATTACTTTTTTTGAAGGGAAATCCGAATTACAAATTTCATTTGTAATGCTAATGCAATTATTGAATCTGGAACAGTACCTAGTAAGTACGATGCTTTTGCCCTGCATATGGATCTATCTTCTCCAATTCACCCACTGCAGAGGGCACGAATGTCACGGTTTTCAGGAGTCCCTCCGCTTTCAGCAGTTTTTCCAAGCACCCAACTACCGGCTTCAGTGAAAATTTGGACTCAAGTATGCATTTTTGCAAAAAATATCGATCTGAGTCAGGAAACGTGCAACACTTGGCATAGTGCAACACTTGTACTTTATGCTCATTTTGATTTTGTATGAGGACCTCCCATGATGTCTTCTCTGTGTTCTGTCGTGTCTAGCATCACAGATTTTTTCAAGGATTTTTACTTATCCGGGATGAGAATAAATACTTAACACCCTCTTCTACTTCGCGTAAAAGAACCTGGACTATCTCGTCACGCCCTTGCAGCAGCAGCTCATGCAATACAAATTCTTTCAGAATGATCTTCCAAAGGCAGCATCACAACTACTCCCACATTTCCAGACTGAGATATATATTTGCAGTTGATACGGAGTGAATCGAAACGAAAAATGAAAAGCATCGCCCTTCCGTCCCGAAAATATTAACTACTTCCGAAGATGCTTCTAAAACAGAACCAAGAGGAACGCTGTCAGAACATATCAACTTCTACAACGAGGCAGTGCCGCTGCGCCCTTCGGTATTTTTCAAGTTGTCGCACGATAATAAATTTCGGATCTCTCGTCCGCCGGCCTGGCAGGAGAACAACCGCCAGGCGTCTCCGCTGGGTTAATGATCCACATGAAATATTATGCAGCCATGCTTTATATATCATTGCCGTCTACTTATGGGACGGAAGGGCGGCCAAATATTCTTTCCCTCTGATAGACCGTACCGTCCGGGCGGCCAAGGTGGGACATGAGAATCAAGGCCTTCGGTTTCTGGTTCTATCAAATGCAAATATGTCTGGGTCTGGAAACTTGTGACGCCAAAATGTGCATGATGGAAACACTTCCGAATGCAGCCCAACATGACAACTTTCCGGAGCGCTTTCTCATAGGCAGTCCGCATGAGAAATTACGTTTTTGCATGACAAAAGAGGCTGCGGCTTTTGTCGGTTATGCAATACAGATTGAGATTTCCCAGGAATGTAAAGCTAGCATTACATCGGAGGTCTAAGGGCAGTCCGTCCCTGTGCCTTTTCTAGGCCTACTAAAGCCAGTAAATCGACTAAGCTTCTACTTACTTGGAAACTGCTGGAAGGAAAACTACAGCGCTTACTAGTGCTACTTAAAAAGCGTTTGTGTGTAAGTATGGAGCTAATTACTACAGGCCTTTCGTAAGAGCGGTAGCGGTAGAAGCAGACGAGGCTGGCGCGCGAAAAGGCTGGCACAACGTGCAACACGGGACCGGGCCCATGCTGCGCGAAGGCGTAGACAAGCAGCGAGCGTCTACGAGGCAGGTCGAACATGATGCACGGCCCTGGAGGTCCTTATGCATGTGGAGACGAAGCACAGGGGAGGGGCCTCAAGCGAGGCCACTGCTGTGCTAATCCGGACCGATTCAACAACCACAAAAGCTGCTGCGTCTCCCAGAGGCATACAGGTGCTCCGGCACACGAGAGCTGCGTCCACCCAAACCAGCAACCAGGGCGGCGCCTCCACCTGGTTTGGGAGCTCTCGTATGCAAGCATCATTACAAGTTCCAACTTTCCAGACCCAGACACTTTTGCAATCCATAGGTTCAGGATAGACACGATGGTCGGTAGGGCGGCCTTCACCCGGGTTTCGTCTTTCACCGTGGAGTTGGTTTCCTTATCCAGTGGCACATTGAAATCCACACGCATCATATGCAAGGAAAAAACTGTGTGGTCTTGCAGATGTTGCACTACAGTTACTTCTGTCATACTGGATATGCATCAGAGGCTATTTTCCTACGTGTCTTCGCGTACTAGCTACGCATGGCAGGTTTTCTCTGTCATGCAAAACAAATCTGTAATGCTGTTCCTGCAAAAAAGTTACACTTACACACTTTTTTTCTTGGATACATCAGAACCCGCTTCCCGGCAATTTGGTCCGGCTTCAGATCCAACAAACCCAGCTTGGACGACAACATTTTGGGTTGTGTTTGTCTTTTTTCGTAGTAGAAAGTCTGTAAATATATTCCAAACGCAATACTTCTTAAATTCGTAGTGGTACAACAGGTGTCGTGTATTGTTTTTTTGTTTTGACTTGCTTGCTTCTACTATTACCGGTTGGAAATGGAATTGTTTTTGGCGGTATGTAGTTGCGCCGTCGTAAAACGAGAGTCGATAAAAATTAGTCGCGTCCTCGTGGTCCGAGATAGATTATAACTCAAAAAAAAAGCACATAAAGCTTGTTGCTGTGATGTTCACAGAATAAGGAAGCCAATCTGATGGCGTGCTTGTTCTATCCGTCTTGTGCAAGCCCTTTGATTTTGTGCGGCAGCAACGAACAGGTTGCTCTACTTCAGATGACGCGCGCGAACTATTGTCGCCTGTCGTGCTGTCGACAACTTCATCTACCAGCACCATGCGAGCAACGTCTAGGGCTCTTGGTCTACTTCTTTGTGTGAACAAAGTTGTCTTGCCAACAAGTTGTGGAACAATTGTCGGTCCAACATACCAAACGTCGGATCTTTATTTCTTCCTCACGTACATGAAAATCAGTATCAACATCATCATCTTCAAAAAGGATCTTGATCTTCTGGCAGCACTTGTGTGCCCCGTGATTCCGGATCGATCATCACCCTTGGTTTTGAAGGGAAAAGGTGTTCTCGACCATAAAAAAATACCGACGTGGTCGCCAAGCCGAGAAAAATTCTCTCGAGGTGTACTAGGTGACTACGAACAACAATTATAGGTTTATCGGTCCCGTTGTTACCAACAGGAAAAGTGCAAGACATTATTTTGTCAATCGAAACGCTCGGTATCTTTTGTTTTTTTTTATGTCTATTCGCTTTTTTCTTTTGTGACCTGAGTATTCGAAATTATTTCAGCAGGCGAGGGTGCCTGAATGGGTCTGGTGGTCTTTTGCGTTGGGTAAAACATACGGCTTCAGCCGTTTGCAACAGTTGTTTCATCTTTCTGAATATTGTAAAGAGTAAAGTAGCCGTGACGCTTCCACCACAGGACTCTATCGGTTGCCTCCATTATTTCCAGAATGTACTTACTAGTACCCAACCGGTACTACGGGGCCGCACTAGGAGCGTCCGTTATTCTTCCTGCTCCGCGACACTTGGCTCCGCATGGTGGTCTTCCTCCGAGTTTGGTTGCTCGTGCAGTTCAACGTCCTCTCCAAAGAAACGGTGGTCGTCGAGGTTCTTCAGTAATTCGGGATCGTCCTGAAGATCCTCCTGCTCCTTCAGTAATTTAGGAATTGAAAGAGTTAAGGTTTTGGTCAAGGTTTTGCTTTGCGATTTTTCATTTTTTTTCTCTTCGTTCTGAATGGAAAGGGAAGGCGCAGACCATCCAGCCGAAGGAGCCCGCTGCGCCGATATCAACATCTTGGCCGGTATCCAGACCAGCAGAAGTCGGTCAAAATGGGGGCCGCGCGCTTGCTGCTTCCAACCTCTCCCCCGGGTGAATACGATGAAGCCGCGGCGGCATTTTTCTCGGCTTCTGCTGACCTGGACTGCTGGCCAACATATTAGCCTCGATACCTCCCCAGAAGAACCCCAGACACATGCCATCCGCCGCGAGGTATTTGGGGCGCCGGGCTGCTGGCCCGGCTTCCCCGCCCCCAGATCTCATCCCGCGGTGGCGCGTAGCGGGGTCCGGGGGAAGAGGCTGCGCAGCTGCGGGCTTCGTCCGGAGAAAAAGTAAGTTTTTGCTTCGATTGCGGTAAGCCTTTTCGGGGCAAAACCCGGACCAAAACCCTGCCGCTTTGGCGGCAGCCATCACAGGGACAAGCATCCCCGTCGTTGGCCGTTAGGGTGCTCTACCTCTGCCTCCTCCCGTCGTCCCGCAAGATTGCGGAACGAGATCCGGGGGCAGAGAAGCCGGGCGCCCTGCCATTTGCTCCAGGTGGCTTGCACGACAAAGCAGGCCGCCTCGACACGATATGGGCGAACATATCGGGTCAGTTCGGCTCCAGATTTTCGGCCACAAGATGAAGCACAAAGCGAAAGCAAGGGCTTGCTTTTCTAGATCGGGGGAGGCTCCCGGACAAAGTAAGTCTTTGCGTCCATGTCCGTGAGCCTCTTCTGAGCAAAACCCTGGCCAAAGCCTTGCCGCTTTGGCGGCAGCCACTACAGAGACGAGCATCTCTGTGGTTGGCCAGGAAAGTGCTCTACCTTTGCCTCCGGACGGCGTCCCGCAAGATAGTGGAACGAGATCCGGAGGCAGAGCAACCGGGCGCCCTGTCACTTGCCCCAAGTAATTTGCAAGGCCAGGCCGCTTGCCTGGACACGATATGGGCGAACATACCCGCCCAGAACAACTCCACACTTTTGGCCACAAAAAGGAGACCAAAGCGAAAGCAAAACCTTATATATTTTTTTAGCCCGGGGGAAGCTCCCGGAAACAATAAGGTTTTGCTTTTATTTCGATGAACATTTTCGGAGCAAAACCCTGAGCAAAACCTTGCCGCCTTGACGACAGCCACCACAGAGACAAAAGCCTCTGTGGTTGGCCAGGAAGGTGCTCTACCTCTGCCTCCGAACCTCGTCCGGCTGGATTGCGGAACGAGATCCGGAGGCAGAAAAGCCGGGCAGCCTGCTCCGTGTACCAAGTAACGCGCGAGGCGAGGCGGCTTGCCTGGCCTAGATCTCGAGGGAAATGCTGACCCACAAATCAGCCAGCGCGCGCTCGTCAGAATTGTGGCGACACCTCGCAAACAATTTGGATCGGCATCAAGGTAGACGGGCCTTCAGCTCTGAAGGCCCGGCGGCTTTGGTTTTGCCAGCCAGACGAAATACGAACCAAGGCACCACCTGGACAACTGCCGGGCGGTGCGAAGAGGGACAAAGGCGGGGGCTGCGACATCTATGAAACCACGAACCAAAACCCTGATGTAAACCTTAATTTTTTCAACCCTTAAGTAATTCGGGATCGTCCTGAAGATCCTCCTGCTCCTTGTCCTTCGTCAGCATCCTGTCAACTACATCTCGGTCGTCTACTTCAGGGGCAGCCCCCTCTGCAGCTTCTCCTGCTTCACCCCCGAGAGCGAGACGAGTGTCCACCATTATTTGCTGCCCAGACGAGAGATATTCATCGCCAAGCTCTTCGCCCACCTGGTCGCGCGGACCTGGTTGTGCCGCTTGATGTAATTGTAGTACCTCTCGTGCGTCATCGATCTGCTCGTCCTGCTGCTTCGGTCCGTCGGGCCGCAGGAGCTCCCTCCTCTCCTCGGCGTGGTGGTCTTGTTCTACTTTGATGGTAGGACCACCGTCGGCATCCATCTGCTGGTGCTGGAAAACATCGTCTTCCTGCTCCCGTAGCTCATCTTCGCGTATCGCTTCGACCGCCGCAGGGTGAGGTTCGACATCCTCCTCGTCAAAACCATCCTCGACCTATGCATTGCAAATATCGGTCTGGGTCTGGAAAACTGTGATGCATGGCGAGGAGTAAGAAGCACAGTGTAATGCACCGTCAGGCATGACAAACTTTTGTGCGGCTAGGCTACGTGCTGCATGTTCCGCATGACATCAAACTGCGTTTTCGCATGACCACAGGTCGGACTCGGAGGACCTATTGCTAGCCACGCATTACAGTGCATTTACTTGTGCCCGACGAGCATGACAGATCTCGCAATCTTCCAGGCCCCGATCGATATTTGCATTTGATACGTCCACGGGAAGCATCATGTCCCCAACGTCGAGCATCATTTCCGCCCCGTCCTTTGATCCGAGATGCTCCGGCTCTTCATCCTCCATCAGAATGTCTTCGCCCGGTACTCCTGCAGCTGCATCCTCATCCCCGCCACCTCGCTCTTCATCCTGATCACCTGGGTGATCCTCGCCGTGGTCATTTTCCTCGTCTGTGTTGTGGCCAGCACTGCTTGTGCCCGGCCGGTCCCACCGACACTCGTGCGTTTCGTCGTGGTAGTAGGCAATCTCGCCCTCGGGCGTGCGATACCGTCGCCAACCAGCGGGCAGGGGATCCAGCTTCGGACGGTCCCACGTGGTCTCCTTTGTCTCACTGTTGTAATACCTGGGGAGGACAAGCAAAAGGAGCGATTTCAAGTCCAAAGAAAAATCTTGATCAAGTACAAAGCTGTAAATCTCTTCATCTATATTCGAGAAAGAAAGAAACGCGTAACACGTATACCAGGTAGTAAATGTAAACTTGAGTAGAGGACAGAACATAATAAAGCCACTCATTCACTTCCTGCTCTTGCTGCGTAGATAGATGAAATAACGCACACGACTACGACGTCGAGGTCGACCATCAAATCCTTGTTCTAATCAAAAAATCTATCGTACGCGGTATGTCCCTCGGTTTCGTAGCTGATCCACTGGTATGAATCGCAAAAGCATCGTAATCGTACCGGTACGTAGTCGTAGTGATTGCATGAATACAAACGAGCACATCCTGACGAATGGAATTTTTTTCATGCTGATTTAGCCAGCGAAGGAGATAATTTGTCATGCCTGCTTGCGACTATCCATCGCACGAGTTCGATACTTTTGCATCGGATAACTGGGGCGGCAGGGGTGCGGACTCCGAGTCCTCGTCGTCCAAAAAGTCGAGATCCTGACTCGACCCCTCCAGACTCGAATTGTCATTCACAAGAACACCGGCGGCGGGACCGCCGGCGTTGCTCGTGTTTGCGACCGTCGTGGTTCCAGCAGCCGCTGCTGCTGTTCCAGCGCTCTTGTTCAACCCCGCCCCACCTCCTGCCTGTTGTAGCTGCTTCGCCCCCGCGGCCCCGTGTTGCTTCGTGCCGACAGCTCCAGCCGAGGAGGCGTTGAAATAACTAGAAGAAGTATTGGACCCTCGTCGTGCTGCAGCTCCCGCCGTTCCGGTACCGTAATTCTTCTTAAAAGCGGCCTGACCAGACGTCGCTGCGGTTTTATTCAACATCTTTGTCGCGGCCCCGTTTTCGTCTTGGTTCATCGCGGCCTTCTGCTGGTTTTGTTTCGCCATCGCCATGAAAGCCCCAAACGAACCCATGCCGCCCTTTTTCGTCGGGGCCGCGGGACGGTGTAGCTGTGATAAGAAATGTAGTTTCGAGAAAAATTGAAATCATGCAGGGATGCTGGGACGACCACCACGTCGAGGTGACTTTATCGTTATCTGGGAAAGAACAGTTGTCCAGCAACGTATCTATTATACATAGTCAGTGGGTGCTGGTGCTAGTTTCATGTATAAGGAAACAGAAGTTTTGAGTTAGTAGTAAATACTTACCCTGGGTTCGACCACGTTTCCTCCTCGTCCCCCGCTACGGTTGTTGTTGGCGTTCCTGGGCGGTAGCCTCGCCGGCGGTGCGGGATTTATCAAACAGAAAAGCTTGTTCTCCCTGTAGTCCCCTTTGAAGATGGTGTTTTACTTCTTGCAGTCTGTCATGCAGTCGGGCAATGCAAATGCATGAGCGATGAAAGACTTCTAAAAATAAATGATTTTCGCGTGGTAAAGCCGTGTGCCACAAAAATGAAACGTGGCTAACTAGAATGGTACTTATATTACATACATACAACTCCGTCACTCTCACTCGTCAGCACATGACAAACACAGGCCGCCCGTGTGAACAACTACAAGGGGAACTAAAGAGGTTTTTTGAAAATTTCATACGGGCATTCCGTCCACTCCCGCCGCCGCGCCTTTTTCATTTTTTTTTCGAATAAATTTCAATCTTTTTCTTTTCCGTGCATCTTCATCCTATCCACATTCATCAATCCATACATAACAACATCAGAAGAACCTTTCTAGGCACAACGAAAAAATGAAGTCAGAAGTTGAGTGCAGCAGCTGCGTCTCGGCCAAGCTTCACCTATGGTGACTGCGGAATAGATCATGGATGTCGTAGGGCTTCTAGTGGCATCAAGAAGATGCAAGTGGTATTATTTCCTAAACAAGAACTAGTATACCTGTTATTATCCCGGCCTCGATTTCTGCTGCCGTCCCGTCGCCGCGTTCGGTCGCGGTCTCTGCTTCTGTTATCAAATGCAAATATGTCTGGGTCTGGAAGAGTGGAAGATTTGTCATGCAGGTTTTTCATGATCCATGAGGTCTGTAATGCATGGTCTAGCATCACAGATTTTGCGAGGGCTTCCTGATCGATGCCTGTTCCGCATGAGAAACTAACGCCCTCTCGCCGTGGCAAAAACTAACTGGACTCCCATTGCTGGTCATGCATTACAGATTTTTTTCGAATCCGAAGACAGCATCACAAGTTACAACCTTCCAGACCCAGACATTTTTGCATTTGATATCTGTCCCGGTCCCGCGATGATCGGCGGCGTCGGTCGCGGGGCGCCGGTCCACGACTGTCGTTTCGCTTATTTCCCTGCTGGTTCAACGTATTGTCCCTGTTGCTGTTTATGCATTGCAAATATGTCTGGGTCTGGAAGATTCTAAACTTGTAATGCTGTCTCTGGATTCTAAAAGAATTTGTAATGCATGACCAGCAAGAGGACTCCAGTTTGTGCTAAGCCGAGAGGGCATTTCTCATGTGGTAGAGGCATCGCAAAGTCCCCTAAAAATCTGTGATGCTAGGGCATGCATCACAGACATCGTGGGTCATTCATAACATGCATGACAAACCTGGCAATCTTCCAGACCCAGACATTTTTGCAGTTGATACTGTTTCGATTACTGCGATTCCCGCGGCCGCTGTTCGGCGGATGATCTGCAGCTGTTCCCACCCCTATGCAAGAAAAAAAGGTTGTTGGTGTAAATTTGTGATGCGCAACATGCAAATTGATTGAGCCTGTAATGCTGTGCCTGCATTGCAGGACCCATTCAACGGCGTTTTCCCGTACTATCTGCGCATGACAGGTTTTTGCTGTCACGCGAGAGATATTTGTCATGCTAATCCTCCAAGAAAGTTACACCTACAATCTTTTTTTCCTGGATAAAAATCCCAGCATGATTGTTATTGTTCATCTTTCCTCCACCCCCTCCGGTGTTGTTTCTCATGGTACTAGTGCCTCGGGGATTTTTGTGATTATTGGCTCCGGCGAAGACTGCTCCCGTCGCTCCTGCTCCGGATTTGTAGTTCCCCTGCTGCTGTCCTGGCTGGTGTAGTTGCCCCCCTTTGTTCATCATCCTGGATGAAAAAGGGTTATTAACACTTGTCCCCGGGGCCTGACCGCCATTCCCTCCACTTCCCACTCGCATCAGCCCGGCGGGAATGTTTTTCATCATGGAGAAGTCGATCGGTACAATCTTCGTGATCCCCACACTATGCAAGAAAAAAACTGTGTGTGTGTAAGTCTGTGACGCAGAGCATGCAACACAGTTACACTTCTTCATGCTGGGGGTCGTGCGTTATAGATACACAACAACTTCGTGCGTGTTTACAGTTACACCACGTACTAACTGCGCATGACTGGTCAATTTTCTGTAAAATGCAAAGCGAATTTGTGATGCTGCTCTTCCTCCACAGTGACACTTTACACAGTTTTTTCGTGGATACACACCGGTTGGCAGGGGGACCTTGGAGGTAGTAGAAGTTGTAGACGTACTTCCTTGCTTGTTTACATAGTTCGTCATCTGCTTTTGTTTTCCGTCGTTTTGTTGAAAGGACCTGTTGTTTTGAAGATGCGCTGATGCCGTATGCCATGCAAAAGCATCGTACTAGTACAAATTGCATTACAAATTTTCTCAGCATGAGAAATGAAGTTTTTAATGCTGATTTGCCTTGACAAAGAAATTTGTAATGCAAGACCTGCATTTATACGAGTACGATACTTTTGCACAGGATATGCCGCTTGTTGTTGCAACTGGTGCTGCGAAAAGGAAGCTCCCTTCTTGTTGCTTTTATAATTTGCGTATCAAATGTAAAAATGTCTGGGTCTGGAAACTTGTAATGCTAAAAGCGAACGATAGACGCGCTGCAATACGCAGCTATGCATGACAAATTTCTTGGCTGCCATGTGGTCTTACGTATTCTGCATGGCAAACTGCGTTTTTGCATGACAGGTAAGAGGGCACTTTCGTGCCTATGCAACACAGATTCTCGAGTCATGCCAGACATGCATGACAAACTTGCATTCTTCCAGACCCAGACATTTTTGCATTTGATATTGCGCCTCCGCCGCCGATTGTGCTGTTGTCATCTCCGTGGTTTATTTTCGTGGTCCCACGATCGTCGTGTTGGTCCCCACGACCAGCTGCAGTATTAGACATCATCTTTCGCTCGGAGTACTTCGTGCGCACTATCGGGCCTGCGGTGTTCGACATCGCCGCTGGCTTCGTGTTCATCTTGCCACCACCAGTCGTTGTTGTGGTACCACAGCCGGATGGTGGAGGCCCGCCTTGATGACTTTCTCCTGGAGCGATCAGACTCGCCAAAAATTCGTTCGTACTCTCTTCCAGCCGCTTGCTCCTTTGTTCCGCTGACATCGGTTGCGGGAATTGATGTGACGGGGTTTGCGTAGTTTGTTTCCCAAAGTTACTACCTTTATTTCTAGCTCCTGTCGTGTTGTAAGTGCTACCTGATGTTGTTGCGTAGCTGCTGTTTCCCCCTTTCGTCGCCACTTGATAATGGTCGTGTTGTGGTCCACCTTTGCCGCCAGCAACGCTATTTTTGTCGCCCTTCTTGTTGCTGCCCTTGCTTCCAGAACCGAAGAAGGAAGAGGCCCCTGTCGTCGTCGTGGAAGGGTGATCTCCTGCTACTGCGTGACCACCTTTATTATTCGCATGATGGGGAGGTGGTGGCCCGGCGCCCCCTTTATCAGTACTAGAACCGCCCGTTGTGGAGCCAGTTGTGCCCTTGTTTTTACCACCATGATTAGCGTTCCAGGCTGCAGACGCACTACCTGCGTGATCTTTCTGTTGAACGTCGTGCATGCCTCCTGATGATGTTTTTATCTTCTGAGAGTCGTCCCAGCTGGTAGTATTTTGGCTGTTCTGCTGCTGCTGGCCATTTTTTCCGCCCGCTCCTGCGGACGAAAATGACGCTGACGGCCCGCCGCTCCACTGCACATTATTCTTATCAAACGGCACTAACGGATTTACTTTCCCAGCACCGGCGGTTGAAGTTGTACTAGATGCGTTTTTGCTGTTCGCCGCACCACCCGGCCCGGCACCCGCGGACGTATTTTGAAACGAGGAGACTGGGTTGTTTCCCTTCCCGTTCCCCCCTTTGTTGTAGTTGTTCATAGTGTTCGAGGTACTTTTACTTCCATTATTGTAACTACTAGTACCTGGTGCTGCGCCGGAGGTGGACTTAGAAGTGTTCATTTGTTGTTCCCCTTTCATATTATTACCGCCAGCACCGTAAGAACCTGAACTGCTGTAAGGCCCGGGCCGGTTGTTTTGTTGCTTGGATCCGGACCCCTTGTTGAAATTGCTCATTACATTCGGACTCGGATGCTGCTGGCTTTGATATTGATTATTGCTGGACGTCGGTCCTCCTGCAAATGAGGATTCCACACCAGCGGGCGGACTGCCGTGTAACAACTGCGTCGCGGAGTACTTCGGTGGTGGAGCAGAGCCAGGCCCCCCTGCACCGCCGGGAGAGGGGTGCGGCTGCAGTGGGCCTTTTGATAGTACCGGACCCGAAGGAGCTGGAGCGCTGGTATTATTTGCGCTGTTATTCATCGTGCTCATGTTCATGTTCTTCCCCCCACCTGGTCCCCCGATGTTGGTACCAGCACTATCAGGTGCAAAAATGTCTGGGTCTGGAAGGTAGTTGGAGCTTGTGATGCTAACTTTGGGTTTGGACTCTAAAAAAATCTGCATTGCATGATCAGCGAGAGGAATCTAGTTTGTGCTACGCGGGGAGGGCGTTTGTCATGCGGAATAGGCATCAGGAAGCCCTCTAAAAATCTGTGATGCTAGGTCATGCATTACAGACGTCCTGGGTCATGCAAAATATGCATGACAAACCCAGCAACATTCCAGACCCAAACATTTTTGCATTTGATAAGCACCGGGTCCCTGCAACTGCGCGATTTTGTCTAAACCGAAACCGGCGGCGCGTAGCGTCTCCAACGCCTTGGAAACTTCGTCTTGCGCCGGAAAAGTCGTTGTACCTCCAGACGTGGCGTTTTTCGAAGCAGAAGGGCCTTGTTGATGAACAAGATGTTGACCCGCTGTTCCGCCCTTGTTCACCGCCCCGAATGTTAAACCACCAGAATTTTTCTGCATCTTCGAATTATTCTTATTTCCCTGCTGGTGCTGTGCGGTTCCCTGGTGCAGGAGGTGCGGCGGGGGCGGAACAAATTGCTGGTTGTTTTTACCCGAAGTTGTAGTACTAGACACAGGCCCGGAAGATGCCGGGCCGCCCCAATTGTCGCGGTTCCACGACATGTTGACAATTGACACTTGTAGGGGGGAGGAATTTTATTTTGGTGCAGCTGTCGTCAACGCACCGACTGGCGACGAACAAGAACTTGTCGTGGTGTCAGAAGTGTTGAATACGGCTAGCTGCCTCGAGGCGGAGGAGGTGGACCAGACTCTTGCTCTTGCTGCGCCAGGCAGCAGCTCCTGCTGCGATGTTGGCGCTAGAACAACAACACGTGGCCTCCTGATCTTCTTCTGGCACGACGGTGGCCGTCTTGTAGTTTCTTCGCAATAAAGCCGGAAACTGCTGACAAGTAGCTGCGGCGTGAAAACCAGAACGTCGACAAAGTCACGAGAGTGCCGCCGTTCTTGGGCGAAGTAAAATGTTTTGTTTTTTGGGCAATAGACGCACGATCGGCGGCGGTTTGTACTACGGTATCGTGCGCGGCTGGCTGAAGAGTAGACTTAGGCAAGACCAGACTTACTGCGTGGGACTGAACTGGTGAAGATGGTCTCCCGAGCAGGAGGACTTGCTGTGGCTAGTAGGCTGGTGCGATAAAAACACAATCCTGAGCCTGACTACAGCACCAGGACACGGAATAAACAAAGGCTCCTGCAGCTTCCGGACCAAGCGGAGGTGGTCGTCGACGGCGTAGAGGGGGGCAAATCAAGGTCGGACGCGAAGCTCGTTGCACCGCGCACTCGCAGAGTCTCGATTTGTATTCCACAACTTCGATGAAACCTCCACGCATCAACAAAACACCGCTTCTTGCACGTCCCTGGGGTCGGTGCTTGTCCTCCGCGGAAAATAGTGGAAAGAAAAGAGGGAAATCAATTCTCGATTGAGAGGAAGCGGAAACCTCTATTATTTCCCCTGGCTCGGTCGGTGGGAACGCAGCGGCGATAGTACCGTAAGTAGTTCACAAGGGCTGCGCCCGGGGCTCGTTGATGTAGTACACGGAATATTTGCAAAGTCGTGGGTTGAAGAAGGAGATCAACTATGCGGCTTTCAGCGAAGAAGGTGCTTTCCTCGTCCTCACGCGGTAGTCCAGAGCGAATTTGTTGTCGGGGGGCAAGGCCATACTACATTCTTAGAAGAAAGAAATGCTGACTTTCGCATAAATCTATAATCACGCCACCTGTCAGTCTGGTCTGTTAAAGGGACGCTGTGTTGCTCTGGCTTGAAAGGTCGTTTACTATATGACGCACTGAAGAAATCTAGGGATTTGTCTAGTATCAAACAAACTATCAGAAGGAAAACGAAAGAAAAAATGCTAGTGATGCTACATACTAGTTCCAACGAGCAATACTTCCTAGATACTTCGTCCACATCTTAGTCCTGAAGATGAAAATCATAGATAAGACAAACAAACTTAAAAACATCTTCTTGGCTGGCAGCTGAAAGTTCCTTCGGTGAATGCGTTGCAAGGTGGGAAAAAGGACTTTCCCGCGCGAAGAAGGCATGAGTGCTGAGGCCGTCCTGGCCTCAGGAGAGGCACTGTAGTTTGCTGTCTAGCAAGAAGCTCCGGTGAAGATGTAGAAAGATCAGTGTGGAAAACAAAAATGTTTCCATTTCCGGCACTAGGGCTGACGCCGAAACGAGGAGTGGGCAGAAAACAAGGCTCTGCCGTTTCGAAATCATCTCGAAACCGGCTTCAGTGATGGCGGAAAAGATGTGGACGGGCACCGGTCATCTCAACCATCACAGCTGCAGGGTCATCTGGAGGGATGTTGACAAAAGCAAGAAGTGAAACGAAAAAGAATTATTGTTCTGCCAGGCCAAGCATGAGCAAGTTCGGGCTGCACTATGATAGGCATGTTGCCACGGCCGCGGTAGTGGCAAGCGCCTGGAGGACCCCGAATAAACAAGCGAAGGACTCTGATAGAAAGAGAGCGCTCGACATAGTGCAGTTCCGTCTGAGCTAGTGCTTCTTCTTCTTCTTCTCCGGCCTAGGAACCATCTGCGCACAACACCACCGCCAGTTCCTCGCTTTTGATTGCTAGGCTCAGCTTCTTGAGATGGAGATTTGCAGGCACGGGTTTCGCTTTTGAAAAGTTAAAGTTTATTTTCGTTGATAAAAAAGGAGCAACTGTTCTTGCGAAAACACTCACAATGGCGGCAAAGGCGAGAGAGGTGGCATGATCTCGCGAGAGGCCAAGCGGGATAGAGAAGATTGAAATAAATATTCGATTGGAAATCGAAGACTGAACAACTTCAGGTTGGAAGAGGACAACTCTCTAAAACCTGCTGGGCTGTCCGTACTTCTGGCGGTGTAATCTGTAGACGGTAGTATCTCTCAGTCAACTGGAACTACGCCAGAGGAATATAAGAAGTTGTCAACTACTCAACTGATAATTTGGCACCAAAGCTAAGGATCGTCTTCGGAGATTATGTGGGTAATTTTTGAAGACCGCGACGCTGTAGTAATCATATTCGTTGTCTACAACTTTATTTTTCCAGTCAACACTGCTGGTGCTGCAACGATGATCTATCTACAAGCTATTGATCTTGCCGCGAATGAAATGTTTCATTGCAGTGTCGCAAGTAGGCACACGCACTCGTGGATTTTTTTTCGAGCTGGAGTTGCGCGGTACAAGAGCTACTACCGCTGGAAAGTTCCAAATCGAAGGCGTTTATTACGTTGGGCTAGCCAACAAGTTTGGAAGTGTGATGAGTGACGATATCAATCGCATTCGCATGTGATGAAGAAATAAGGTCCACCTCCTCGCCTGTGGTTTTCTTGTGACTGATCTCTAGTTCGACGAGCAGTAGCAGGCCGTCAGACGCAATAGCAGTGAATAAACTCAGTAAGAATCTGTACATCCCTTTCGTTCCTGGGAGATTTTGCTTTTCTGTCAGCTCTGGCGCTGCTTTCTCGACAACAACTCTGCTTCCGACGTCTCTTTGCATACATTTTTTACAAGTTTTAGTACTTTAGAGACGGCAATTGTGCACTGCGTGCTGTCTGATGCTAGACCACCCAGTAGAGGACGTCTTCATAGGGAGAGCCACAGCGAAATATTTCACACAGGAGAAACTTCAATGAAGATCAAGGAGGCTATTTCGATTAGCACTACGCAGTTGCAGTAGTTCCCACGTCGATTATACAGGCAATTATTCTTTTCCTTTGTATTTGCAGTAGCGCTATCCCGCCCTTGTAATCTTACTTTTCTGTCGAATTGAAATTCTCAGAACACGTTTTTCCAAAAAACCACGGCAGCAGAAACCCCGCTGCAACTGCTACAGGCAGGGCACTATTTTTGGCGTAAAACGGCCTAGGTCCCTTTCCTCACCTGGCGCTGAGCCAGGGCTTGTGGTTTCGGCTTTAACTTCTTTATGCCTGTGCCAATAATTTTCATCACTTCTCGAAATAAGTCCTTGTACAACAACACAATTCCTGACGTCACATCGTCCAAAATCGTACTTCAACGTCGGATCTAATCGTGTAGTTGCGATGTCGTTTTTTGTTCGTCAGTCTCATTTTTAGCTGTTGACATCCTTCTCTTCTGGTACACGACACGATCTTTCACAGACAACCAGTTTCCTCCCCTCCTCTAACCACTTTCATCCGGATGATCCCACTGGGCGGTCCCGGTTTCCTCGTGGTAATACGCGATCTGGTTGTCGTCCGTCCGGTACCGTCGCCACCCTTTCGGCAAAGGTTTCGCCTTCGGCTATCGAAAGGAGAAATCCCCGCCCCTCCCCATATCGAAAACGAAATCTGTGATGCTGTATTTGAGGTCACAAATCGACTTGTCGTGCTAGAAGGCCAAGAGCCGCAGTAGTGGCCTCTTTTGCAGGCAATTTGTCATGCTGTTTCCCACTCTCAGCTGCCTCCTATCATGCCTAAGATGCAAGGCTTCCCCACGCCACCCAGCACTACAGTCCGCGTCTTTTCCCGTGTAGCATGACAAAGCTGATTTGTGACAACAAATCTGCATCACAGATTTCCGCTTTGATATGGGGAGGGGGGATTTTTCCTTTTGATATCGGCCGCACCCAGCTGGTCTCCTTTGTCACCTGGTTGTAGTACGCCACTATCCTATGTAAAACCGTCCCAACACCAGGGTCAAGATGGCGATCTCGCAACACAAATCGAGAAGTTTTGGGGGTCAAGCATGACAAGCTCGTCTCTGTATTGTAGTGCAGTTTAGCAAGTACAGCCGTGGAACACAAATCCATCTACTCGTCCTGTCGACAGCATTACAAAGTGCAAAACGCGATTGGAAATGCCTCTCATGGGGATGCGCATTACAAATCTTCCTGTAGCTGCAAATCTGCATGACAACTCTGGGGTGGGGACATTTTTACGCAGGATAGCCACCTCGTTCGGGTTATCGTCCACCTCGTATTCGATCCAGTTCGTATCCAGTGCAAATATCCCTGGAGGTCTGGAAGGTTGCGAGATTTGTCATGCTAGTCTGGCCTGACGCTGCACTCTGTATTGCGTGGCCACGCAGAGGCCCTCTTGCCTGTCATGCAAAAGCGCAGTTTCTCATGCGAAATACGCAGCACAGAAGCACGAAAAAACTTGTCATGCTTGGCGGCGCATCACAGAGCACTCTCTTGTTCGCGGACTTGCATCACAAGTTTCCAGACCCAGACATATTTGCAATGGATAGTTCGGCGGTAGCGGCAAATTTGCCTCGTCGGTCTCGTCGAGAAACTCCAGGTCGTTCGATTCGTTATTTTCCGACGAGTTATCGGCGCTGCTGTTCTTCCGCCTGGACTTAGCATTGTTGGAACTCGATGCATTAGTGGAGTTTTGCTGCTGGTTATGGTTGTTCATCCCAGTGTTCGCCCGACTACGCTTGTTACTAGTACCCGTCGTCGTCTTATTCTTGTTCAGCATTTCGTTCGCCGCAAGTTGCTCTGCGAGTGACCCTTTCGTCGCGCCGCCGGTGGTCTCAAAATCGTACTCGTCCACGTCGTCGTAGTCATTCTGGTATGGATTGTAAAAGTGTCTGGGTCTGGAAACTTGTGATGCTGGGTGGCGCATCATGAAGAGGCCACAAATGCTGGCTCAACATGACAACCTTTTGAGCTTCTAGGTTTTGCCTATTCTGCATGACAAACTGCGTTTCTGCATGACAGCAAAATGGGGCTCTTGGGAAACGTGCATGACAGATTTGAGAGTCATGCCAGACTAGCATGACAAATCTCGCAATCTCCCAGACCCAGACATTTTTGCATTTGATATCTGGTCGCGCAGGATGCTCTGCAGATGCTGCCGCTCCCGCCGGTTCAGCAGGTCTTGGTCGACATTTTTGCTGTATCAAATGCAAAAATGTCTGGGTCTGGAACTTTGCTCGACTTGTCATGCAGGTTTTCCATGACCCATATGATCTGTAATGGAGGACCTAGCGTGACAGATTCCGTGAGATCACTACCATGCCTATCCTGCATGAGAAACTCCCTGCCAACTTGGTCGAAAGTGGCCAGCTGTTGGCACTCATGCAACACAGATTTTTGCATGATCCAGAATTAGCATGACAAGTTGCAACCTTCCAGACCCATACATATTTGCAATCCATATGCTGGTGGTTTGTCCCTCGTGCGAAATAAAACCCCGGTCGTCGAACCCGAGAGTTAGGTGGTCCAGATTGTCCGCGACCTTGTGACTCTTGTTTTCGCAGTTGTTCCTCAGTTGCCACTGGTACTCTTTCTGCAGGTGGAACACGAAGTGCATCACCTCCAGCCGCCGCGTGTCCAAGCCGCGGCCATTGGTGAACCGGTTCGCCCGGCTGGATCCGTAGCTCGCCACCGCTATGAAAGTGCACAAGAACTCCCCCTCCCCCTCATTTGTATTGCATGAACAGCAGTACAAGCGTCATGCAGAATACAGGTTTTGCAGGACAAATTTGGAAAGGCGCGTAATGCTATTTGGGCTGCCAGAACTAATCATGCAAACAGTGCCAAGAGCCCGGGCGTAAATTAGGCACTTTGCATGACAAATGAGGGGGAGGGGGAGCTGTGCACTCTCATAACCGCCTTCTGCACGACGCTGTTGCTGTTTAAAAGCAGATGGCTGTAGCTTTCGGTGAAGTTGTTTGCCCCCGCGCGGAAGGACAGCAAGGTTTCGCCCACGGACGGAATCTTGATCTCCGAGGCGGACAGCGATTGTCGCTGCATGAAGTTTCGGTTCGTCGCCTTCTGGTCCAGAATGGGGTCTTCGTGTGCCAGGAGCTGCTCGCGCGTGTAGTAGGACTTCGGCTTTTGCCGTCCGTTGCTGTACGGTCCGTTTTTCTCGACCGGCGGAGGGGCGGACATTCTTGATGTTGTTGCACCTCCGGGTTGATGTTGAGACGGGTATAATTGTTGCTGAGCGTACAACGTCGAGGACGCAGCTGCTGGACCACCTCCGTGGTGTTGCTGGGGCAGCAGTCCTTGAACGGCGTTCAAGAGGTTTTGGCTCGCGTTGGCATTATTATTGCTTCCAGCACCGCTACTGGATGCCTGCGCTTGTAACAACACCTGCATGGCTGCCGCCACTGCTTCGGCCGACGGTGGGGGCCCGCCTGCACCACCGGGTTGCTGGTGTTGCCCTCCCTTCATTGCCGGAGGCCATTGGCTACCGTAGTGCTGCTGCTGGTGCCAAGACATTTTGCTACTTTATTTTTGCGTGTCGTGGCTCACTATGTGTATGTCGCTTTCGATTTTTTATATTTTTCCCGGAACATCATCAAAGTGAAGAAAATAATCCTCGTCGGGCTCCGGGGCTAGGATTGGTGTTCGACTTGCTTTATTCTTGTAGGACGGTTTTCTCGCTGGTAGTACCAGCAAGAGCGATCAACATCATTAGTGAAAGTTTGATTCAATTTCAGACCAAGACCACTAGTACTGCAGCGGCGGCGGAGATAAAGACAATGCTGCGAATAAACTACATTCTAAGTAAGTACTTTGATTGAAAAAGCTCTAGTACTAGAGAATGAGAAGATTGAATTTGAAACACACGGAGGGGAGGAGGTCGCTGGTGTAGTAGGCGCAGAGGCTTTTATCTCTTGACTCAGCTGTTTGCGGTAATCTAGGTGGGCTATCCAGACGTTGAACCAAGACAGAGCTTCACGAAGATCTTACGCTATTTTCTCTAAGGGCTCTTCAATATTTATGTTGTTGTCAATGGTAGAAGTAATACTTCCTTGGCGGACCTGAACGAACTTGATAGGTTCTGCTCTACTTGGGGGGGAGGAGGCATATCTACATGTTGTTCTCGTCATAGAAGACTTCTACCCCGTCACACAAAAGTCGTGCCATCGCAGTAAAAAAATAGCGCAGGCCGTCTAGCAATATGGACGACGTAGAGACAAGATCACAGTAGAAGTTCCAGGTCGTACAAACGGATTTTTACTGAACTGGTGATAGTGGGTTCATGAACAAAAGTCAGATTTCAAGCAGAACAAAATTTCCGCGTCGGAGTCGGAATGATGTGGTCACTTGTGGCGCGTTCGTTTTTCTTTGTTTATTCGCATCAAACAGAAATCGAGCCTGCACTATCAAACAACTAGTATCATTATAATGCCGCCTTTCGTGGTCATGAAATTGCTTGCTGTTCATTCTTCATTTGCTATTCGCAGCTTCATGTGCAGCATCGAGTGTGGCTGCCAGAGCAGCACTGCTGGGTAAGTAACAATGGCAGAATCATTCGTCGTCCTCCTCCGTTCCTCATTCGTCGCCTCAGAAGGAGAACTTTTTCATTTCTCGCACCTGCGTCGGCCCATCTTCGAGCGGCGCGTAGTCCGCCATACTGTATCCCGTGGAAACTTCATTTCAAAACGGAACAACAAGTCTTTTGCGCACTACTTCATCTGCACTGGAGACACCACAAATACCAAACCGACGAGAATCCTCTAGTTCCTGTGACAACGCGGTGTATACAAACTTGACAAAACACGATCAGCAGTTGATGCACGTACTTGCTTTTGTTCTGTAGTGAAATGATTTCACATCGGATATTTGCGACCGAACCTCGAGCATGACCTCCTCTCGCAGTGCGTGCCGCACGGATGATGTCAGGTACTTCTTGTAGACGTGAAGCAGTATCATGGAGAAAAAAACAGGCACCAGGGCGTATTTGTAATGCGAAAAACAATTCAGAGATAAATCTGTCATGGGCGCATGCTGCGTAGCATACGAATTATAATTTCTGTGATGTGTAACACATCATTGATCTGTGTTTGTATATTGTTGTTTTTGCAATACAAATATGCCCCTCCCCCGCCTGCTTTTATTTTCTATGTGATAAACAGGATGAAAAAGAAGATGAGCACAATTATGACATTGCACAACTCCCCGTCCCCTTCATTTGTATAGCATGAACGGCAATACAAGCATCAGCAAGAACGCCGGTTTTGCATGAAAAATGTGCACTGGAGTGTAGTGCCATTTGGGCTACCAGAACTTGTCATGGAAACAGTGCCATAAGGCAGTGGCTGGATTCTGGGTTTTGCATGACAAATGAGGGGGAGGGGGAGTTGTGCACTGTCATAACGATCCCGAGCAGGACAAAAAACTTGGTGAAGGTCATCAGGTTGTCACTCGCCCCGGTTTATCGAATGCAAATATCCCTTGATGTCTGGAAACCTGTGATGCAAGTCTGGCAGTGATCACGGGCGCACTGCAATACGCAGCCAAGCATGACAAGTTTTGGAGCTACGATGTGTTGCGCGTTCCGGGACCGGGTGGCAAACTGCGCTTTTGCATGACAGGCAAAGGCAAAAGTTTTTCTTTTTTTCCCACTCCTGCATCACAAGATTCAAGAGTCATGTGAGACAAGCATCACGAACTAGGAGTCTTCCAGACCCAGAAGTATTTGCAATGCATACAGTTCCGGTGTACGCCACGAGCTGTGCGAATCTTTCGCACTGCTATGTCCCCCTGAAGAAAACAGCTAGCAACGAAAAGCGATTTGAGACTTTATTCACCAATCTCTGCGCATTGCTGAACAAGATCCGGCTGAGTACTCACTTACCACCGTCTGGCTCGTGCTGGTGTGGAAATACAATTTTGCGGATCCACATAATTTTTCTTTCTTCAAGGCAAACGCCCTCAGTTAACAAACATCCTCAGGTTACAGTCAAGTACAGGTTTTCTGCTAGCTATTCACCCTCATTTCGATAAGCTCTGGCCGCTTCAGGTACCCGCCGCAAATGCTACGCATCACCAGATTTGACTCGATCGGCCCAGTATGCACTGCAAACGTATCGAACTACAACTCGTACTGATTGCAATACTGCATGACATCATATCTGTGTACGCTAATCAGCATTACAAACGTCATTGTTCGGGCTAAGCAAACTTGTATATGCAATTTTTTGTTGTAATGCAAGTGGTACGAGAGACAGCACAAAGTTTTGTTGCAGTGCATACCCGGAGTACCTCCAGCCGTTAATCCGCAGGGCCAGCGGGGACCAGGCGTGGTTGCGAATCTCCTTTTTCAGCAGGCTTTTCCAGTTCTCCAAGAAAAAAACTGTGTTAGTGAAACTTTCTTTGGCTGGTGGTGGTGACAGCATCACAGATTTGCTCTGCATGACCACAGATGAGAAAACCTCTCATGCGTGGCCGCTTGTAAGGGAAAACACACATGGAAAGAGGCCTCCATGGTTGTCTGGCACGACAGGTGTACTTAACTCTCTCTCTCTTGCAAGTTCTGCATTACAGAGTTACACTTATACAGCTTTTTTCTTGCATAACAGTCCTTTTTCGTGCACTGCTTGATGTTGTCGATGTCGATTTTGTTTTTGGCTGGCTATCAAATGCAAAACTGTCGCACTCGTACTAATCGCTGTTATGCATCACAAATTTCTTTTTCAAGTCAAATCCGTGACAAATTCCATTTCTGATGCTGGGTAAATTTCAATTTGTAATGCTGTTTTTTCTACTAGTGCGATAGTTTATTTGCAATGCATACTGACAAACTTCCGTTTATCTGCTCCATCACTTCGTAGCTGCATTTTTTCGTGAACTTTGTAAAGTTATCAAGTGTAAAAATGTCTGGGTCTGGAAGAGTCATGCTGTTTCTGCATGACGCAGAAGGTCTGGCATGGAAGCTCCAGCATCACAGGTTTCGAGAAGCTTCCGCAATGTCGAACCCGCATGAGAAATCCCCCAATTTGCTGACAGAAAGTGAGCAGCTTTTGCTACCTCTGCATGAGAGATTTTTGTGTGTTCCGAAATGCGCATCACAGGTTACATCCTTCCAGACCCAGACATTTTTGCATTTGATAAAAGTCCCGACCGGAATCGGTGCATTGCTTCCAGAACGCCGTTATGCATTGCAAAAGTATCGTACTCGTATAAATGCATTACAAATTTCCTCAGCATGAGAAGTAAAATTTGTAATGCTGATTTGCCTTAACAAAAAGATTTGTAATGCAGGACTGCAATACGAGTACGATACTTTTGCACAGGATAGCCGTATGCCGGTGCACAACTTACTACCCCTCGTCGCCCTCATTTGTCATTGTCAGTAGATCTTCACAGATACGAAATATAAAACGCATGTGCATTTTCAATATCCGATATTACTATTAGCTGCTAGCACTATAACTCGCTCGTCGCATGACAACTCGCAGCAACACCCCATCAAATTAGACGTTGCACTATGGTCCGTACGTTGATATGCATTTCCATTTGCGACTGCAGAACCAAAAACTAATACATTTCTGCAGCTAATATCTTGTATGTATGTACTTATGTGATCTCCAGCATTCTGAGTGAGGGTGAGGGAGCAAAGTGCACGACTGTCATATGCTCGCAAGTACTTCCAGAACGCTTCGGAATATCCGAACAGCTCGCCGGACTGCTTGACCTGCGGATGCGGTGATTTTCTTTTATGCTTCTAAATTTTGTCATGCTGATTAAACATCATAGCAGTGTGTCCAATTCATGTTCATCATCATCATGTTCATTTTGCATAACAAATTCCTCTCGACATATTCTTTCAGTAGAAACATACCTCGGGATTGGTCCACTTTTCGGAGTTTTTGAAGAGACAAATCTGTCGCAGAAGGTATGGAATGTCGAGAGGCGCTTGGTTTCTTCGTAGAAACTGAAACTCTATTGCTATTTTTACGTTGTTATCCATTTTCAGAGCCTTATGAACTTCTATGGCCTCCTCAAAGGTTACGCTTACGAATACGATTGGGATTATTTCTGAAGAACTGCTCTTACAACTTTTTATTACCTCACCGCGAAACAAATGCATAGGCATTTGGTGCATACACGCACACATGGAATCAACCATAGAGAACCCTAAAACCCTCTGAACCCTCTTGCGGCGGCACCACGATAGCATTCTAGACTTCGCAAGCGTTAAAAGAAGGTCAGGAAGCGCACTCCGGTCGTACGCCGAGGATGATCCGCATTGAATTTGTAACACCAGATCAGAATGTATGCAACACCAGAGGAGGCCATAATTCTCTTTAATTCTCCGTGAAATTTTTTCATGGAGTATCATGTTACTAAATCACTTCCATCCCGATTGGAAACAGAGGCAAAACCGATGCGAAGTTCTTCGGACCCCTTTTCATCTTGGCCAATTTAGGCTGCTTGGAACCATTCGTTTCGCAGCTTTTGATGTGCGAGGTAACCCCAAGACGGCGCTGCTCTGAGTGTGATTGTCAACCAGGGGGGGTGGTGGAGCCGGTAAAACATTTATACCTTCCGGCCACGACGTCGGACACGCTATTTGCAAACGCCAAGAATCAGTGGCTAACTTGTTACGATTTGTCAGGCAGAGGCCGGGGCTGGCGCTGGGCGGCATTTGTAGTCTCCGTCATTCATCTCTGGCGCTGTGTGTAAATATTACGGAGCAAACCGCGCTAGGGCTTTTACACTTTCCCGCGCTCCCTCGTCTTTCTGCTGGCTCGAGAAGAATATCCGCCTCGGCCTTTGTTTTTTTGTAGAAGGTTCAAGGGGGGCACGGGGGTTCCAAAGTGTAACAACCAAAATTAGCCACCATGTCCGATATGAATGAAAAGTGCGGAGTAAGAACTCGAACCCCCGCAGGAGAGGCGTATCGGTGCATGTTTTGAGACGGTGGGCACTTGGCAGGCGCCGTGTAGTGATGTTGAGATGCAGCCCGTTTCTACTCGGCTGGGTGATGTTGAGAGGCGCTTGGTTTCTTCGTAGAAACTGAAACTTGTTGAAAGCTTGAATTTACACACAGTCATACATCGGAAAATTGACGTGTCATCTTGCGTCGTCGAGATTGTGACAGGCTCGATTTAGTTTTACTCAAGTACTTACATCAGAAACTGACGTCCTAAACCAGCGCAGCTCTCATCCCATACATCTTCCTCGACAACCTGCCTGCCCGTTGCGGTCCCCGTATCGCAAAGAAAACTGAAGACTCCATGTAGTTGTTCTTGCTGCCATGCCACCGACACTATGAATGGAACAAAGGCTAAATTTGAGTTTGATTCTGTATAGAAAGCAGGGTCAACAACATGATTTTCGTTTATATCCATGCGCGGAAAAGACGCACAAGGACGAGTTTTCATTTTTTCTGCGATACCCCGCTCCGTCTGGATCTGCGGCGCAAAACTTGTTCTTGTCCGCCTCGTCTTCTGTCTCGAGGCAGAGCGACATGGTATCCGATTCCTGTTTCATTTTCATAAGATAGCCATAGAATTTGAATTTCAATTTCTCATAGAGGTATAAATCCAATATCACGAGTGGTTCTGCTTGCTTCTGCTTGATGAAGGAATGAAAAAAAGAGGTTTTCACCCGGAAGAATCACAACAAAAATCCTCCCACTGTACTTCTACTTCGATGAAGCACTCTGATACTCATTACCGCCGGCAAGCTGATGATGTGGTAATGCGGAACGAAGCTGAGCAACTCCTTGAAAGAAAGTTATTCGGTGCAAACGCAAGTACAGCAAGTAGCGTCAAATGTAAAAGTGTCTGGGTCTGGAAGAGTGCCAGACTTGTCATGCAGGTTTTTCATGACCCATGAGGTCCTCTGGTATGTAGGACATAGCATGACAGATTCTGTGAGACTGAGAGTTCTATCATGCCTATCCTGCATGAGAGACTGCCTCTAGACTTTTGACCTAATCATTAGGTTAAAAGTGGACAGCTTTTGGTAATCATGCAACGCAAGTTTTTACATGATTCAGATTTAGCATGACAAGTTGCTTTGTTCCAGACCCAGACATTTTTGCATTTGATAAGTAGCATCCTCCTGCGAATGAGCCTCTACATCTTCGCTGGAATACCTCCGTTATTGCACGGTATAATGCTTCGCCTGAGACGTTTTATCATGCACACTATTATCGCTGCAAGAACAGTACCGAGGAAGAGGATGCTACTCATAGTGCTACGTTTAAACACTTATCCCAAGGATAACTCAGCGAGCTCCGCGAAGTTCTTCAAAAATCGGTTCGCTTCTCTGCTGCCGGAGGAAAACCAGAAATCTGCCAGCACGTAGTTAGACTGCGGAATGTCCCAGGTATGCATTTTTGCAAAAGTATCGTATTAGTATCAGAACAGAAGTCTTGTTGTTGATGTAGATGTTCCTGTGTTACAAGCACCAAGTAGAAGTTGCATACGCGTAGACAAATTTTTTAGAGATAGAGTGGACCTTTGTGGCAACAAGAAGACTTTGCATAGATAGTACGATACTCTGACACAGGCTCATACCAGGCGAGCTTCACTAATACCGCCTCGTTTTCTATCCCACGAAAAAACTGTTTCACTGTTATGATTTTGCAAAATCTGCATCACAAGTTTGTTACGTTACGCATGACACTGAAAATCTGTCATGCGGGGTTCCTAAGGGAAAACACAGCCAGAAATCCATTGTCTTGCATGTGTAGCATGACACACACTTCTGCGATCCATTTTCTGCATCACAAGTTCACAGTGAAACAGTTTTTTCTTGCGATATTTTCCTCCTCTGCTTTCCTCACTGCGTTTATCAACTTGTTGCCCTCAAAGTAACTGATCAAGATCGAGGGAATCTTCACATTCTGCCCTGTGCCCGATTCATCGTCGGCCATGATGGTTGCCTGAATCTGCTCGGACGTTTTGCCGCTGGATTCCTTGTCGATGATAATCACGGCAGATGCTTTCTTCGCCTCTTCCTATCGAATGTAAAAATGTCTGGGTCTGGAAGAATGCGCGATTTGTCATGCAGCTTTTCCATGACCCATGAGGTCTGGAATGCAGGACCTAGGATGACAGATTCTGCGCGAGCTGTCTCATGCCTATCCTGCATGAGAAACTCCCTCCCGACTTGTTCAAAACTGGACGACTTTTGGTAATCTATCATGCAACACAGATTCTTGCTTGTTTCAGATTTAGCATGACAAGTTGCATTCTTCCAGACCCAGACATATTTACATTTGATACTTCCGCTACTTTCACCTTCTTCGCGAACGAGCACTTGCCCCGTTGCACCAGGACGATTATGGATGCGTCAGGATCGAAATCAACAAAATCGAAAAATTTGTGATGCATAAAAGCGATACCAGTTGGAGCCTCAGTTTTCGAGTGGCGCATGACAAATTTCGGGAGCTGCAAAATCCAGTCTGTCATGCTGTTTGAGCAAAGAAGACTGCTTCTGTCATGCTGCTCTGGCAACGCGTCTTCTTCCTCTAAACAGGCTTGCAATCGGTCTCATTTGCCTTCTTGCCAACACAGGCCTTACGTGCCCTACATTTTATGCATTACAAGTTTTTCGATTTTGCCGATTTCGATCCTGACACTCCCATAACGATCGGCATCAGATTGCTGTCCTCGTTCGGCATCTGACTCTCCTCGATACTGTAGTCGTCCGCGTCGCAGTGGTATCCCACAAAAAAAGTGTTAGTACAGCTACACATTTACTGTCAATTCAGCAACACAAATTTTCTCCGCATCAGAGAGGAAACTTGCAATGCAAAGATCATAAGGGGAAACACGTATGAAACGAGGCTCAAAAGTGAGCATTTCTGGCATGACAGGGGTTGTCTGTCATGCTGGGCCTGAAAGACAGTGTGTAACTGTAACACTTTTCTCTGGTGATAAGTGGTTGTTCCCGTTTTTGCTTTCCCCGTACAGGATCTTTCCGATCACGCGGGCGCCAAAGTAGGGCGCGCCGAAGGTGGCGGTGGTGCCGTACACTATGGGGTTCTCAACTGTTACATTCTCAGCTGTTACATGATTTCTCATTCTCATGCAAAATGATCATGAGCCGCCAGACTATCAAGCTGCTTCGCATGACAAAGTCTCGAAGGGCTAGACAGCGTCTAAATCTGTGCCAAATTTGTGACGCGAGACTTGCAAGCTCGCCCCTTTCCCTATTGCTGTTTTTGCATCGCAAATCCATGTAACAGTTGAGAACGTAACGTTTGAGAACGCCATATACACGGTGGCCTGCGTCGAGTGAAACTCGTCGCGAAGGGACTTCGGGCTGAGGATGTGGATCTGCGCGACCACACCTACGGGGCTGAGGAGGTACAGGTACTGCAGGAAGGCGAAGACGAAGGAAATGGAAAATGATGTTGAGGGCGAAGATGCACGACTACAGGTGAGAAACTTTGTTTTCTTCATGCTCATGTTCCTCCTCTCTGAAGTCCTCGATGATCTCCTTCGGTGAAAATTTACATCTCTCGAAGTTGGCGCTTCCCCCCTGCTGCTGGCGCTCGGTGAGAAAAAGGGGCCCAGTCCTCCTCGTCTGCGCCCCGGCACGTCATCTGTGATCTTGTCGTGCGCGGGTCCTAAGCTTGTCCGCTGCAGCTCGGCTTCTCTTTCCCGCGGGTGCACCTCCTGCTCCTGATAGGCACTCCTAGTACTACCCCCCGTCCGGTCGTTCTGTCGGCATCGCCCACAAAACCCAACCGAGGAGCGATCACGCAGTTGTCGACGTACTAGCGGGGAGGACGCGAGGTTGTATGCGGTGGTCTGTTCTTTTTTTGTCCCGCTGCGTGGTGCCACCTGCCGAGCAGCGGACGAGACGGAACGACATGTCGAAGTCAGCAACGTCATTTTTCAGAAGTATGTTACTTACTTATGCAGATGGGAGGTTGCTGGTTGCAGGCATGGTGGGCTCCCGATGTTGCAGCTGCACGAGTTTCTAATGACCAACGAAGATCTTGTGTTACTTGATGTCTAGACCGGTACAGCTATGCGATGAACTGGCTGTAATCAAGGCTGAAAACTTTAACTTCATGCGAATAAACGGACAGAACCAGAAGTAGCACCAATGCTTTTCACCTTTTGATCTTCTCGAGCGAACAACAGAAACGTCTTTTTGGTCCACAGACCGCGACTGTCTCCACATCGAGAAAGCTCGACTTCGTTTTTTTTTATTTTTTCAGAACCATATAATTCCCTGGAAGCAGATATACCATCGTAGTTTGCAATTTGTGCTGTAGAAGAAGACAATCAGCAAAATGGCATCGGCATCAGACAGAACTATAGGTTGATAGAAGCACCGCTGGATGTTGAAGACTGTTGAGTTGTTTCTTTCTACTTTTCCTTTTCGCCGCGAGACGAGAATTTAGGTAAGTGCTATTTTTCGTGTAGGTAGAATACAATAGTCAACTACAATTGTCTAATGTCTTCATTCACAGCGGTCCTTCTTGTTTCCCGTAAAACATCAAGTGTCAAAATCAAACTCTACTCTTCGACTACTAGAAAAAGATCTTCAGAACAGTTTCAGCTTGTTTTTCGGAAACAAAAAGGAACATGTCCAATAGCATCTTCTAGTTCTACATCGTCGGAATAAAGCAGAGGAAGATGAAGGAAAAGGTACCACTAGTACGTGTGGCAAACAATAGAGATTCGCTGATCAGAAGCGCGCCCTCTCTACATACATTTGTATAGCAGGTACTCGTGGTCATCGTTTTCCCTACTTCTTCGGAAAATAGGAATACCAAACAAAATCGCTTCGTGGAACTGTACAGTTGTGGTAGCCTGACCAACCTGGTGCTTAGGTCGATTTGATAAATGTCTTTGATCATGGTAGCGATAGCGATCCCTAAGAACGTGTAGTTCCAATACAACTCTTGTAAAATTGAGAACGCGTTTTTCGGAGCGCGGACGACTAATACAGGTTATGTAAGTAACCAGCCCGGGAGCATTGGGTGGAAAGCGTAAAGGCATGTCATACCATGTGGGTAAACGTAAGTTGTATTGTAATATAGTCGAACAGGAAATGCTTCTTGCAACGATGCAAACAAGTTAGAGCAGGTTGTGAAGTGCATGAATGTGATAATATATTCATAGATCAACTGATGTTGGACGTGGAAAGAGTCTTGTATTTCGTGGTTACCGTTAGTTTTCGAACTTAGAAATAAGTGCGGGAAGCGCAAAAAGAAAAAAGATCCTATAGCTGCCTGAAGCAATTAATGTGTGGCCAAATTGTGAACATTTACAAGAGAACCATAGATAAGTAGATGAAGATCTGAGAACCATAGCTTTGCAGTATTTCGAAAAATGCGTCACACCGAGGGCCCCTGCGGCGGCCCTATCACAGGCCCGTCGAAACAGCGAAGCACGCGTCGTCTTCGGGATGATTGGTGCACGGGTCGCTCGGGTCCGGGGTCGTGGACGGGTCGGTACCCGTGGACGGAAAAAACTCCGCAAATGGGTTTCCCCTGAACCAATCGCCCGCGTTCAGCACTTTCGCCTTCTTCTTCTCGGCCTTTTTTTCTTCCGCCTTCTTCAGCGCGTCCACCTTCTTCAGCGCGTCCACCTTCTTCGACGCGTCCACCTTCTTCAGCGCGTCCACCTTCTTCAACGCGTCCACCTTCTTCCCACGAGCGACGACGCGCTCGTTCTGCATGAACCCGGACGGCATGGTCTCACTTCCTTGCCAATAGTGCGTCGCCCCGTGCTCCTTCTTCTTCGCCGCATAAACGCCCCCCCCCCCCCCAGGGGGTTGGCGGCAGCAACGATGGCGATTTTCTTCATCATCGTGTTTGTGGTTTTTGCTTTTTCTCTTTCACAGAAAGAAAATTTGTGTTCGTATTTCGACTACGCGTGCGGTCTGCTCTTACGTCGTTGCGAACTTTTTCGTGCTTGACTTTTATTTTGTCTAACGCGAGACAAAAAAAACGGAAAGGGAACTGCATGAATGTGGTGGATGGTGATGGTTTTCAAAACGAAAACTTACATTTGTTCTACGACCCGTAGCATTTCGAGCGACGAAAATAAATGAAGGCAAGCAGTACTGCGACGACAAGGACGATGGCCAAAATACGAGTGCGTTTTTTGTCATGAGTTAACATCTGATTGCGACGAAGACGAAGAGCGCACATTACCGCTACGAGAATATCTTTGCAGCTTTGATTTTGATACGACGTGATGTAGGAGGTCTTGTACTGTCCGTAGTTTCAGCTTTTTTTCACGACTTGTTGACGATCAGACGTTATGTGAGCCGACCCCGGCGAAGATCAACACCACGAGTGATTGTGAATGTGATACAACGACGAGCGATATTTATTACTATTAGTTTGCACTTGCAGCACGAAGTAGGAAAGACCAGCGACGAGAGCAACGGGTCGGTTCCTGATGGTGAACGAATTTCAAATGACCCACGAAGATCTTGTGTTGCTTGTCATCTCCTGGCACGAAAATCTAATGGCTTCTTCTAAAGATTATCAACGACTTCTGAAGTCGGGCTTATGCTCGCGTTTTGCGTCCAACGAAATGCCTTTATCCAGAAACACGAACAAGCGGCAGCTACGAAGTGGACATGCGAACTAGATGCTGAGGCATTCTTTTTTCTGATCTGGTCTTCCTCGTCAGATACTTTAGATTCTCAAAAGCTCCAGCGTGTGTAGTCTTCCCCCGAAGATGAAGTCGGGATGAAAAACTATTGATGATTCTAGTATAGTACGAAGCAAGACTGACATATTTTATCTCGTCGTCGTCCGGAAACTTCAAGACCGGAAAAAAATGGATATTTTGACAACGCTATAAATTATAGTTTCTCTGCTCTTTTTGCTGGTAGAGCAAAAAATTGCGCAAAAAAGTTGAGTTTGAGACGGATTGCCTTACAAGAAAGACATTCGTAAGCAAAAACCAACCATAGTACGTCGCGCGTCAGGGCCGAAATCTATTTATTTCGAAGTAAGTTAGCGCCGCGTCGTCGTTGTCACAACTCTAATCGCATCCTTGGCCCAACCAAAAAAAAACGAGCAAAGAGAGAAAACCACAAGGAAAAATTTTTGTTTTGTACTATCACTATCGCCTGGATAATTTATATATAATTAGGTAGTTCAGCGACCACTTAGAATTAAGAACTTCGTCTCCCCTCCAAAAAAACTGCGCGGCCTGCCGGTCAATGTTTTGTGAGCCAGCACATTTGTGTTGATTCATCATGTTCACGACTCAACATCCGGCTGAAAAATATTCTCCCGCTCAAGCCAATGCGTACGCGCCCTCCAGCATCTTGACTGCGAAATCCTTGGCGTCCTTCGGCGGATATCATAGTGAGAAACGCCCCGACCCCAAGCCTCGGACGGAGTATTTGTGTTGCCATTCTTTCCAAAGGAGACATTCCCGCTCATGCTTGTGATCCTACCAAAGCAAATTGTTGATGCAGCATGGCGAAAGTTTGTGTTGCAAAAAAATCCTATCCAGTAAGAGGGGGGATTCTGCTCTTGTCTTAAGAGATGCTACGCAGGCCTAGAGTCTCCCGCGGACGAGAGTCATGCAAGACAAAAACCTTCCGTTTTGGAAATTTCGCAATACAAACATGTGGCCGTTGGGGGAGGGGACGGGGCATTTGCATTTTGATACCGGCTTCTTCTTCATGAGAGCTTCGGAAGACTTGGTCTCCTTGGCCAGCGCAGCCAAATCTCCCTTATGGATGTGTCAGGATCGAAATCGACAAAATCGAAAAATTTGTGATGCGTAAAATGTAGGGCACTGAACGCCTGTAATGGGGAGCAGGCAAATGAGACCGATTGTAAGCGTGTTGAGGGGTATGCAATGCGCTGCCAGCGTAGCATGACAGGAGCAGTCTTCTTTGCCCAAACAGCATGACAAACTGGATTTTGGTGCTCCCGAAATTTGTCATGCGCCACTTGAAAGCTGAGGCTTCAACTGGTATCGATTTTGTGCATCACAAATTTTTCGATTTTGTCAATTTCGATTCTGACACTTCCATATCCCTTCTGCTTCGTGTACAAATCCATCAGGGGCTGAAAATCCATGTAGGGTATCAATATACTTCTGTCGACAGTGATTCACTATCATTGCACATGATGATGATCGTGAAGATTCATTCATACAGTGAAAAACGGTGCCTTTTCAATCAAATTCAAAAAGTCCAAGTATGTCTAATTACCTTCAACATGGCTTGATCCGGCCCGGTAGCACCCCCCGCGGCGGGCTTCACCTTGTTGAGCCCAGCCTTCTGCTTCGCGAAGGTGTCACCGTCGAAGTTTTCGGGACCCGGCATGTTGTTCTCGACGCAGATCCTCGCTTTCTCGTGCTAGTGCAGCAAAAAGGAAATAGCGCTACAACGAACAACCTCTGTTCTTGAGAGCACGACAAATCTCAGGTGATGAGTAAGTTTTGGTGAATGCTAGTTAGCGCGTTTTTGGTGATTGGTACTACTTCACGAGGAAATATAAGGGGAAATGGATATGGAATTCAACTTATCGTGTTTAATACTTTAGCGACCTCCTGTTTTTCAATGAGTCAAAAGAAAAAATTCAAGATAATTTTTCAATCAACGACATGCACGAAAGAAAACAAGAACGACAGCAAGACGGTAGTTCGCAGCTGCCAGAGCAGCCGCGGCTACAACCGCTACTCCTTCTATCGTATCCGGACGATAAAATCGTGTAAAGAAGTGTGGCTGAACAACGAGGAGCTGCCAACATACCAGCGTACTAGGACCGAAGCTATACAGCTTGCTCCTTCTGATTCTCCTTTTTCTAATCTGGTGCACGAGTTCCGACTTCTGAACGATCACGATGCAGTACTTTCAAGTACAGTACTGAGTGCTTGTAACTATAGACAATCTTCAAACGAGATCTTTATCGTGACCGAGGAGCCATCTTCGTGTGAAGAACGCAACAGAGGAGACCGGTTTTATTCCTTTAGTCAAAAAAACCGATGTTCATGCGCGTTCCTGTGTTTTCTATATTCAATGTTCTTGTACTTACGGGCAAACCGATTTTATTATTCCATGTTTTCCTGTCCTTTCTTTGTGCACCGAAGTTCTTTCTATGCGCCACAGCGTATAGACAAGTTGATTTTGACTTGTCCGCTCTTCCATCGTCCATACCGAAGATGACGATGTTGATGTTGTTGTTTGCACATCTCTACAACTGGACGACTGAGCCTATCGTGAACACGAACGGTGCTGAGGCGTAGGACTCTTTTCCGTCTTTTCATTTCAGCGGATGTTGCCAAGGCGTCAGCTACGAACAGTGTACCTATTTCCACAGCTGTTTCGTGCACGCATCCTTTATTTCTTCTAGATCTACACCGAGGCGGTTACAACATTTGTCCGCGCCCGCGTCTTTCGCACTTGTTCTATAGCGCACTTAACTCCTACACACACACGATACACACAGAGGTCGTCATCGTCTTTCGGGTCGCTACCATCGCGGTCTACCCCTCGTGAAGATGTTCCTCACCAGTCGTCAAACGCAAAGGCTTTGTACTGTTTTCTCTTTCGGGCCGCGTTTGCGTCTTCCCGTTCTTCTTTGCTCATGCCCTCCAGCTCCTTACGCGTCACCACCTGCCCATCCTGCAGCTTTTGCTTCGCTTTTTCGATCTCGAGCAGGGAATCCAGCATGGACACCGAGTCCGTCGCCCCCTCCAGTTCGTTTCGCCGAATGAGCTTTATCGAAAGGAAATATCCCCCCGCCTCCTCGTATCGAAGCGGATACTTCTGTTGCTGGATTTGTGTACACAAATCAGCTTTGTATTGCAGGAAGGTATTGCGGCCAGATCCCCAGGCTAGGTAGGGGCGTATCGGTCTAGTTGTTCAGCATGGCAAATGGCTCGCCTTTAGGCCCAACAGCATGACAAATCGCTTCCATACTGGGGGCGAAGCTTCTGCCCTTGTCTCCTTGCAAGAAAGATGTCATCTGTAGTGACCTCAAATCAGCAATCCAAATTTTCGGAAACATAAATTTTTGATATGGGGAGGGGGAGTTTTTCCTTTCAATAAGCTTGGTCGCGAGTTCGTTCGATAGCAAATACTTGCCCACTTCGTTCGTCTCCCGCGCCGCGTGGTTTTTCATGATGTCGCGATTTGAGTTGTTGAACCAAATTTCTGGGCCCCGCTCCTCCTTCCGCTTCTTTTCCGCCGCGTCCTTTTCCTCCTGTTTCAAGAAGTCCTCGAAGGGGTTGGAAAAAATCTCGATTTCTGTTATCGTGATGTCGTAATTCTTCGGTTTGTTCGGCCTCGGGTCGTCCGTGTATGCATTTTTGCAAAGACGTTTGTTCTGGGTCTGGGTGGATGTAGGACTTGCTAATTATGCCGCACTTCCATATTACTCTTGAATTCTGTATATGCAGCCAGGATGCGGAGTGCTAGGGATGCGTCTCTATCTAACATGTTGCACAGTCACGATTTGTCATGCGTCTTTTACGCACGACCACAGAACTGTTCAGAAACCTCTCAAAATCATGCTTGGCTCCTTAATGCAGTCAATCTGGCTGGCTCTGCTTCTGCCTGGCATGCCTATGTTATAGCATGACAACTTTCTGGACCCAGACGCAGGAAAGAACATATTTACATGTCATAGCTTCCCGGTGGTGGCGATGTCCCGGCCCAGCGTTTCTAAGAGCGCGAAATTCCCGACCACTCGGCCGAAACACGTGTGTTTTTTGAACAGCGTGGAGGTCAGGTCGTCGCGGAGCGTATCCTGAGCAAAAACGTCCCGACCTCATAGTCAACAAGATGGGAAATCTGCTAGACAAATCAGCCAGCTTTGGTTGCTGCGCATGACAAGCTTGGCCTCGTAGTGTAATCCTGTTTAGGTAGTTCAGCAGCATCACAGATCTAGCCTATCATTGTGATTCCAGCATCACAAATTTCAAAACGCGACTAGTAAGTGCTGCTCATGCGGCTCCGCATGAGAAATATTTTCAGCATGCAGATTTGCATTACAACGTTGGGGTGGGGACGTTTTTACATAGGATAGAGCGTGAAGAAAAACTGGGACTTGTTTTCGTTTTTCACCGAAGGATTCGCCATGGCTAAACACGCTTTCTTCTGGAATTGAAGCCGCGAGTCGATTTCGTCCTTAAACGGTTTCCCGTCGTCAAACGCCGACTGCCCGCCTATCAAATGTAAAAATGTCTGGGTCTGGAAGAGTCATGCTGTTTTTGCATGACAAAGAAGGTCTGGCATGGAAGCTCTAGCATTACAGGTTTCGAGAAGCTTCCGCAATGCCGAATCCGCATGACAAATCCCACACTTTGGTGACAGAAAGTGGGCAGCTTTTGCTGCTTATGCATGAGAGATTTTTCTGTGTTCTGAAATGCGCATCACAAGTTGGTATTCTTCCAGACCCAGACATTTTTGCAGTTGATACCGCCCGTCCCGGTACCACTCGGGTCGCCCCCCTGGAGCACAAAATTAGGGACCAGCCGGTGGAATATCGTGCCCGTGTAGTACCCCGATTCGCAGTGCCGGAGAAAGTTGTCCACTGCGTGCGGCGCGATGTCTGCGTGCAGCTCTATGTTGATGGCCCCGAGCGGCTTGGGCTGTGCCTGCGGGGCCGCGGCGCCGTGGAGTTTTTTCTCCTTTATATCCACTAACCCGAGCGACATTTTCACGTAGCCCTTGCAGTTCTTTTGCCGCTTTTTCACCTGGTCGTACAAGAGCTCCCGCTCCTCCTCATCGGTGTTCAGCCGGTTTGCGTTGTTGCCCGTGGTCGCCAGTGCCATGGTACTGGTAAACCCTCGGGACACCTGGCCGGACGTGTAAAACTTGTTTACCGTTCGGTTCTTTTCCTGCTCGCGTTTCTTCTTGTCAAGCTCTTCCTGTTTCTGTCGTTTGGCGTCGTTTATCACGTCCAGCTCCTGTTTGCGCTTTTTCTGCGCCTCCAGCGCGGACTTCATGGATTCGGAAGTGATATTGATGAACTTGTGCTCGTCCTCTTTTTCCTTCTTCTTCTATCATATGTAAAAGCGTCCCCACCCCCATAGTCAAGCTGGGAACTTAGCAACACAAATCCAGAAGTTTTGGAAGCCAGTCATGACAAAGTGCAGTCCGTAGTGTAGTGCAGGGTGGCAACGGAAACAGCATCACAAATCCATCTGCTCATCCTGTTTTCAGCATTACAAATACCAAAACACTATTGGCACTGCCTCTCTTGGGTCTGCGCATTACAAATGTTCCTGCAATCGTCTGCATGACAACTCTGGGGTTGGGACGTTTTTACACAGGATATCTTCACCGCCTCGTTCTGACTGCCGGTGAAACGGGCATTTATCTCCGCGAAGATGTTGTCCTTGGTCGCATCCCGAATGCTGTCCATAATCGTGTTGGTCGCAAATTTGTTCTCCTTTTTCGGGTCTTTCCGGCCTGCTGTACTAGCATGGTGTTTTGCAGTAGAAGAAGAAGAGGAAGAAGACATTCCTTTCGTAGTAGCCTGCTTTTCTTCCATCGCGAGCGCTAGTTCCCGTTCCAGTCGGTCCTTCTCCTTCACATGCCAGAACTTCGTGACGTCGCGCAACTCCGGCTGCTGCGGGTCCTATGCATTGAAAAAGTATCGTACTCGTATAAATGCATTACAAATTTTCTCAGCATTAGAAATAAAATCTGTAATGCGAATTTACCCTGAGAAAAAGATTTGTAATGCATGACTGCGATTACTACGAGTACGATACTTTTGCACAGGATAGATCCTGCAACACGACGATGTCTTTTCTCCAGTCGAATGGCTCTGCGTATGACAGTGCACAGCTCCCCCTCCCCCTCATTTGTCATGCAAAACCCCAAATCCAGTTGCTGCCTTGTGGCATTGTTTGCATGACAAATATACGGAAGCCCAAAGAGTACAACTTACATACTACATATAGGCACGCAAACAATTTGTCATGCGTAGGCTCCATATGTGCTGGCGTTTGTGTTGCTGTTCATGCTATACAAATGTGGGGGAGGAGGGGGAGTTGTGCACTCTCATACTTCGGTGATCAAGTCGTGAAAATTCCCCGCCTTCTTGTTCAGCTGGAACACCGTTTCAAACAGGTACACGTGCCCCGACTGCGCGTTCAGGACGACCTTCGCCGTTTCCAGGAGCGGTTTTGTCGTGTCGATGGCGTCGCAGAATTCGGACGTGGTCAGGTCGTCCTTGTTATCCTGTGCAAAAGTATCGCACTCGTAGTAATCGCAATCCTGCATATACAAATTTTCATCCCGAGGTAAAACAGCATCACAAATTCCATTTGTCATGCGGAGCTAATTTGTAATGCGATTACTACTACGTGCGATGGTGCTTTTGCAATTCATACTTGTCCTGCTTCGGCATTTTCGTGAACTTGACCGCCACCAGATTACTGATGGACAAAGCCTTGCCCGTCACGGGGGACTTCTCCCCGAAATTCTTCAGGAACCTGGAAAAGATAGAAAAAGAATAGGAATGCGTTCGAATTGATGATCACTTCGTAGGTAAGTACAAATCAATGCGAAGTAGCTCGTGAAAATCGTGAAAGAATCACTACTGCCCTTCTACTTCGCCACGATCAAGTGCAACGAACATCTTGTTCTCGCATCTCCTGCAGTATGCAGAAGAAACTACAAACAGCGTCAAGGTCAATCATCTTCATGACTATCGCGCGTCAAGGTCAATCAAACCAAACTAAAATCAGCAACAAGTTGTATAAATCTATCCTAATACGGTATTATATTCGCGGCCTCGTAAACATCCCCGGTGCTCCTGTCGCAGACCGGCGACTCGAATTTTTGCAGGGACAGCGCGCAGCAGTGCAACGGAAGTTTTTTGAACGGGAGTTGTTTCACGTTGTAGCCTATGCATTGCAAATATGTCTGAAGATTCCTGGATTTGTGATGCATATTTTGTATGATCCATGATGCATGTAATGCATGACCCAGCATCACAGATTTTTAGAGGGTTTCCTGATGCCTATTACGCATGAGAAATGCCCTCTCCGCGTAACACAAACTGGACTCGTCCTGTTGTTGGTCACGCAATACAGATTTTTTTGGAATCCAAAGACAGCATGACAGGTTGCAATCTTCCAGGAGACCCAGACATTTTTGCAATGCATATAGCCGCCCCAGGATTCCGCGTACTCCGTGGGGTTCATCCACAACTTATCCTTCGAGTGCTGCTGCTTGCCCATTTTGGAGGAGGGGGGATGGAAGGAGTGCTAAAGAAGGTGGGGTCTACGCGAAAATAATCAAAAAGGTAGTTTACAAAACAAGTTTTGTACTTACGGGACAACCAAAGTAGGGCTAAAGCGTATTTAGCAACAGGAGTTCTACATACTATTCGAAGTTTCTAAGTAGGTAGGAAGGTAGGTTGCTTGTGGTAGTGGTACTACATACAAGGTTCGGATAAAAGACAACCTAAAACTTACTCGCCCTTTTCGTTGTCGCTGTCGCCTGTTGAGTGAACAAATTTAGGAAACTTACTTGGGGCCTGTTGGCAAACGACACATTGCGATGAAGGAGAAACAAGATCGGAAAGCTTCATGCGCGGGAAGATAGAAACTGTTCATTTTGCAGCTCATGTTACAGGAATATGATCTGGGTCGGGGGTAAGGTGCAAGCTTTCTGCCGTTTTCGTTTTCCACACACACAGACACAGACACGCGATAATGAACTGCTGGCGTTTTTGATAAGTACTCTGCAACTGAAGATCTTCGCGTAGTTTTCACAACGACCCTGATCTGCTGCAACTCGAGATTCTTCAAAAGGAACGGCAAAAAGTGCTTACTTATGAAATTGTTTGCTCTACATAAGTTGTCCTACCCGCTACTCTTCCTTGATACAGATCCTCGTCATCTTTTTTCGCGTTCCTCCTTTGCAGTGCTGGAACACAGATTGTGTGTGTGTGCTGTCTTTTCCTGTTCTGTAACAGGGTAGCAGAAATCTTTTTCGGACCTTAGATCAATCTGTCGTCCTTACAACTTTCCTTTGCGCGAATGAAATCTCTTGCTTCCGTAAGGTGGGCGAAAATCATCATCATGCCGACGTGTTTACCTTTTTCCTTTTCGCAACAGCAAAACTGCCTTGGCTGCGGGAAAGGGGGAACGTATCGTTCGAGAGGACGGTGGCGCGTCGATATTAAGTATTCGGTTTCCGAAGGATAAGAAGTACCAAATCTGTCATTCGATTTTGAAAATTTAGAATTGCAAAACTGTTTTTATTCTGCCCGATTCCAAATCCAAAATGTCTGGTACATTTATTCATCTAGTATTTCAAGATACAGCACTCCATGTGCTTCTAATCCTCTTCTTCCATCCGTCTGCGCCATAGTATGTCTTCCTCGTCCTCCCCCTCCCGGTCTTCCTCCGCGGCATCCGGGTCCACCCCTCTCGCCGCATATCCTGTGCAAAAGTATCGCACTCGTAGTAATTGCAGTCACGCATTACAAATTTTTTTCTAGAGGTAAATCCGCATTACAAATTTTATTTCTCATGCTGAGGGAGCAGTTTGTCATGCATGTATACGAGTACGAGGATAGACTTTTGCAATTCATACCGCAGCATCCGCGTGGATTTTTTCCAGCTCCGCAAAGTAGTCCCCGAGGTCCTGTGAATACTCGTACTTCCGGGCTTCGTACCTGTAGTAGAGTTTTCACACGTTATTTATGGAAGTAAGCTGCATTTGTACCAGAAATAGTCTGCTTCAAGAACTTCTTGTACGACTCCTGGTGTAGTCTGCGCATTCATAAAGGCATTTTTGTATCAAAGGTAGTAGTAGAATCATGTGTACTAAATCAATACTTCTTGCTCTTCAGAAAGCACTTGAGCATGAGGAGGTCCGCGAGGAGGGGTGCCAACGAGAGCAATGCTATCCCGGTGGAAATTTTGAATATGATCGACGTCACCGAGATCTCCTCCCCCGTGCCCACGGTCCGAAAATAAAAACGCACCCCCTTCATCTTGAAGAGCCGCCGCTCGTTCGCCGTTGCTAGGGGGACCTTGTAGGTGAATTCGAACCCGATCGCGTTTTGGTCGAACAGAGAGTCCACGCGTTTCGCGGAAATTTTCGGCTTACAGTTTTCCGAGTTCACGGGGCAGGAGGGAAACTTTATCAGTACCTCGACCGCCGCACCAAGCTCGCTGATCTCTTCGTATCGGACCGGTGGCTGACTATGAACTGCAAAGGTCTCGTCCTCTCGCACTAGTAAAAACCAGCCATGCTCCGGCTGCCGCCGGAGCGCAAGGCTGTTGGGCCGGTGCAAGACTGTTTGCCGACCGGACCAGAACGCCACGGGCCTATGCACAACGAAACATACTGGATTCCTGCCGCCTGTTTGCGCCGCGCCAACCCGCAGGACCGCTTGCGCGCTTCCCGCGCCTGTGGGCGCTCTGCGCAGGGAGTAGCTGCAAAGAACATCGGGGGCGAACAGAAGCTGCCCGGCGGGAGAGGGTAGCGCGAGAGGGTTGCGCGAGAGGGTGGCGCGAGAGGGTGCGCGAGAGGGTGGCGCGAGAGGGTGGCGCGAGAGGGTGGCGCGAGAGGGTGGCGCGGAAAGGCGCCGAAAAAAACAAGGCCGCGAATGGCCTGCAGTGCCAAATATGGGGAGCACCATGCGGATTCGCGCCCGCTTCTTTGTGTTTTTACCCTCTCGCAGACCATCTTTTTGGCCTCTTTTGGGGGTCCCCGCTAATAGTCCGGCTATACTCGCGGGTAGAGGTCGACAGAGGTGGCCGAGAGGTGGCCAAGAGGGCCCGCGAGAGGTCGCCCCTTATTCGCGCCACCTCTCTCCACCTCTGTCGACCTCCCGCGCCCCCTCTTTCTAACCTCTCTGCACCCTCTCAGGCGCTTAGGCGGCGCTTAAAGGTGAGCGCTTCGGCTGGCCTTATTCGCGCACCCTCTCGCCGACCCTCTCGAACGGGGTCCCGCGCCACCTCTCCACCTCTGTCGACCTCTTTTTTACCTCTTTTGCCCTCTTTTTTACCTCTCGGCCACCTCTTGTTTACCCTCTGTCTACCTCTTTTTTCGCATGAATATAATATATAGCAATTGCATGACAAATTCCCTCAGCACGACAAAAGCAATTTGTCATGCTGATTTGCCTTTGGGAACGAGTACGAGATTTGTAATGCATGACTTCAATTACAACTACGAGTACGATACTTTTGCACAGGATACTGACAGAGCAGAAGCAAATCCTCGACGGTGAACGTGTTTGCATCCTCTATCGCAAGAAAAAACTGCGTGACTGTGAGCTTGTGATGCAGAAAATGGAACACAGAACTTTTTGTCTTGCTACACCTGCAAGAAGCCCTTGGGTTTTTAAACAGGTTTTCCCCTGGGAAGCGCGCATGGCAAATTTTCCGTGTCATGTGTAACGAACTTGTAATGCAGAACTTGCAAAATCAACATCACAATGAAACAGTTTTTTCGTGGATATCCTCTTTCGGGTAAACTATGATGTTCTCCAAGTCATTTGTGAAGATGCCTGATTTTTTCAAGTACTAGTATAATTTTACTACCATGTATTCCGCACATAGCAACGAAAGGCACAGAACTACCGCATGAGAAATTTAAATTCAAATTTGAATTTCCAATTTAAGCAAATAATTGTTGAAAAACGACCTATCATACGTTCCTTGTTCAGGTTCCAAAACTGCACGACGGACTTATAACTTGCTCAGGTGGTACAATCTCAAACGTTACAATAGAGTCTGGAATTTGTGTTGCAAGAAGTGCATTATCTAGCGAACTCTCATAAGATTGCGCATGACAAGTTCTGGAGTCCGAGTCCGCACTACAATCTGCCGAAATTTGCATTGCAGAAAGTGGAATGCTGTCCGAATCTGTCATGCTCATCATGCAATACAAAACCCAGATTCTCTTGTAACGTTTGAGATTGTAAGGTTTGAGCAGGTCATAGGACTTGATCCACACCTGCAGCTTCGCGGTCGGCGTCTTATACGTTTCCACCTCATTGGTCAGCCCAGCGTCGATATCAAGTGCGAATATGTAGTCTGGGTCTGGAAGCAGGATGCAGACCACGTGTGATGCTGAGTCTGGAACAACAGACAAACATCTGAGCAACAGATGCGCAGCATTTTTCGTTGCATGAGCGAGACCTTCCCAACAAATGAAAGCTTGTGGCGCAGCTCTTCTTTCAGACCACTCCCAGACATATTTGCCATTGATACTCGATGCTTGGACACCACCCGGGTTCGTTGCAAAACCCGTTTTCTGAGCAGGTGACTGCGCCGACGTCCTTGGCATATCAACTGCAAATATGTCTGAATCTGGAAGAGGACAAGTTTGTCATGCACATTTTCCGTGATGCACGAGGTCTATTATGCATGCCCTAGCATCACAGATTTTATGCAGTTACCGCAGACGGGCCACCCAATGGATGGCCGCTCGGTGGGAGCAGTCCCCCACCGCGTCGTCGAGGCGGGGCAGTCCCCCACCGCGTCGCCGAGGCGCCTAGGGAGATGGAGCACCTGACCCGCGATGGAAGACATGGACCTCTGTCACACCCCGTAAGAAAAGGGCGGCGCGAGGTCTTAGCGGCCCATCCGTAGTAACGTAACCACCTTGAAACAACTGGGAGGGAGGGCGGGCGAAACAAATACCACCCCGAAATTCGGTGGGTTGTCCTGACTGATCTTCTCAAGTCCTGGCTACCGTACACTAAAGGGCTGAGGGCGGACACGGGCATAAAATACCGCCCGACCATCCTCAGCCTAGACTCACAGGCTCGCTAGCCTGCTGCTGCCCGGGCATACATTTTATGCAGTTACCGCAGACGGGCCACCCAATGGATGGCCGCTCGGTGGGAGCAGTCCCCCACCGCGTCGTCGAGGCGCCTAGGGAGATGGAGCACCTGACCCACCGGCGGAGGCCGGATACGCCGAAGCATCCCAAAGAACCCGCTGTGGCGCTTGCGGCCAGTAGATGAATTTGGGAAACCGGTGCGCCCCATCGATGAAGGCGTAGCAACGAACGACGACGGGTTGAAAAGAGGCCCGATAGACTAAGACGCGGGCCTATCAGAAGGGTCCGCCAAATAGAACGAAAAACCGCGATCACCCAGGCTTAGCATAGCCCCATTACAAACCACTCGGAGTCTCGGTCTCACATAGCGATGGGAGGGGAAGTCCGGATATTTATCTCAAAACAGATCCAACGAAGTCCAGCGCTCTAGCCAGGGAGAAAGTTCGCAAGGGTAACGGGTTCGAACCGCCAGTGCCAAACGACCCCTCCTCCCATCGCAAAGCGAGACCGACCGCCGTTCCTTGTCCCGAGGACAGAACGGCCAAACAACGCCACCGATCTCGCATAAATAGCTGGCAGCGAGACGCTTCCGACCTACGGAATCCAAAATTCCCGCACAACGAACCAGGCTAGACCTTCGGACAAGCGAAAGCCAGAACTTGCGAAAGGCGAAAGCCAAATTTCCCGACAAGCGGAAGCCCAAGTTTAAGTTTCCGAATTAGCAGGAGCCACAATTTTCGACAAGCGGGAGCCAAATTTTCCGACAAGCGGAAAGCCAAAATATCCGACAAGCGAAGCCAAAATTTCCGACAAGCGGAAGCCAAATCATCCGCAAAGCGGGCCAAGCAATCATCCGCAAAGCGGGCCAAACAATCATCCGCAAAGCGGGCCAAACAATGATCCGCAAAGCGGGCCAATCATCCGCAGAGCGGGACTAACGATCATCCACAAAGCGGGACTAACGATCATCCGCAAAGCGGGACTAACGATCATCCGCAGAGCGGGACTAACGGTCATCCGCAAAGCGGGCCAAACGAGACATACTACCAACGGCAGGGGCGTTACTCCCTGGGAACAAGAGAAGGCGAACAAATACCACCCCGAAACTCGGTGGGTTGTCCTGACTGATCTTCTCAAGTCCTGGCTACCGTACACTAAAGGGCTGAGGGCGGACACGGGCATAAAATACCGCCCGACCATCCTCAGCCTAGACTCACAGGCTCGCTAGCCTGCTGCTGCCCGGGCATACATTTACTGAGCGCTTATCGAGGATGCGCGTCCTGACTTGACTTGAAGATGGTACGCCCGGCCGCGCAAGTTCCGCACTTCTGATGGTGCAGCACAAGCACTGCCGCCAGTTCCGCACTTCTGATGGTGCGCGTCTGGTGTAGCAGCACAGTGCAGCAAGGACTTATGTTCTTAATTCTTATACTCCTAACGGTGATTGCAGCACCAGGAGCCCGAGCCAGACAGAAGGTACTGAAACCCGGCAACGAGCCCTCTCTCACTCCGGGGAGGTGCGAGCCACCTCGTGACAGCCACAAGCGGCGCCACCTAAATGCGGGGACTATCTATTAGACGGACTACNTCGGTGGGTTGTCCTGACTGATCTTCTCAAGTCCTGGCTACCGTACACTAAAGGGCTGAGGGCGGACACGGGCATAAAATACCGCCCGACCATCCTCAGCCTAGACTCACAGGCTCGCTAGCCTGCTGCTGCCCGGGCATACATTTACTGAGCGCTTATCGAGGATGCGCGTCCTGACTTGACTTGAAGATGGTACGCCCGGCCGCGCAAGTTCCGCACTTCTGATGGTGCAGCACAAGCACTGCCGCCAGTTCCGCACTTCTGATGGTGCGCGTCTGGTGTAGCAGCACAGTGCAGCAAGGACTTATGTTCTTAATTCTTATACTCCTAACGGTGATTGCAGCACCAGGAGCCCGAGCCAGACAGAAGGTACTGAAACCCGGCAACGAGCCCTCTCTCACTCCGGGGAGGTGCGAGCCACCTCGTGACAGCCACAAGCGGCGCCACCTAAATGCGGGGACTATCTATTAGACGGACTACCGCCAAAGGCCACGAAAGCTTGTTTAGAAGCCGAGCACGAGATGCGTTCTACCGCCTGGATTAGCAGACCAGACTCTAGGGGACTTAATGAAAGGCGTGCCGGATCAACTTCCGCAGACAAGCCTTCGGGCCTGTTGATCGCATAAGCTAAATTGTTAGAACTAATTTTTTTCCTTCATCCGGGTAGAGCAATCACTTCGCCGGAACCTCCGCACGGCCGCGCCAAAAACTCCACAGTGGTGCTGATGAACAAGCGCGACACCACCTCCACGGCACTGTCGCGTCCGCCCCCCCCCCCTGACAAACCCGCTGGCTAGGCGGAAAAAACAAAGCCCCTGCGAGTTCGCGGGATCCGCAGACTAGCGCTACAAAGGCTACAGCAGTAAGACAACAGGAACAGACTTAGAGGACGAAAGAAGAAAAGTAAAAGGGTAGAGACCTAAACCTACGGGGGCGCATGCCAAAGAGGGCAAAGGGAAGGGCAGAAGGAAGACATCAGACTTAGACGAAAAAAGCAAGATAAAAGGGTAGACTCTCAATCCTACAGGGGCGTATGCAAGAGGGGGCAGAGGGAAGATCAGACTTCGGCAACGGAATGAGAGGAGCGCACGAATTTGCGATCGGGCTCCTGGAAAGCAAAACACACGAACAGTGGCACAGACGTACGAACCGACGCTCTGGTAGATAGGATAGCACGAGCAAAGAAAGCATCTACGAGAACAGCAAATACGGATACAAACAAAAGGACGGCCATCAGCCAAAGCCAAGCCGTGAGCATATAAAAGCAAACATACAAAGCAGCGAGCGAGTAACCAGAGGTCACATCGCTGTGCAGGTCTTTCGTAGTAATTTCTCGCAACATTTGAAGACGATTTTTTTTTTTGAATTTGAAGAGTGCGCGCCCCGCCCTTCGCGTACTTCTATTTTCGTTTCGCAGACTAAAAGAAAAGAAAAGTGGGAGGGTAAAACTAAAGGGAAAACTAAAGGGACGCGTACTTCTATTTCCATTTCGCAGACTAAAAGAGGAAGAAAACAAAAGGGAGGGTAAAAATAAAAGAGGAAACGCTAACAATGTGTAAACTCCTTTGCTTATCTATTTACTTCGCTGCTGTAGACAAATGCCCGATCCGCGTAGTCAAATTTGACTGCTCTGGCTGCTCATGCAATACAGATTTTTTTATAGCATCCAAATGCAGCATCACAAGTTGCACTGTTCCAGACATCCAGGGATATTCGCAATGCATATGGCGCACACCTTCGCGACGTCCTCCGGCCCACTGCATTTCTTCGAGCGGTCTTCGCAGGTCTCCCGTTTCTGGTCAATGGTCTCAATCTTCGTGGCGACGAACAAATTACCGTTTTCCAAGTTCGGGTAGGTCAACTCTTCGACAGAAAAGGACCGGGAATTTGGTTTTCCGTATCAAATGCAAAAATGTCTGGGTCTGGAACATTCTGACACTTGTCATGCACGTTTTGCATGAGTCTTGATGTCTGTGATGCGTGCCCTAGCATCACAGATTTTTTCAGACCTTCTTGATGCCTATTCCGCATTACAAATGTCCTCCCCGCGTAGCAAAAATCGCATTCCCTTTGCTACTCATGCAATACAGATTTTTTTGCAATCCAAATGCAGCATCACAAGTCGCATTCTTCCAGACCCAGACATTTTTACATTTGATATTCCGGAACTGGTGACGACGACATCCCCCGCTTTGCTCACGGAAACGGAGGTGGACCCTTTATGGGGGTGACAGGATTGAAATCGTCAAAGTTGAACTGATTTGCCATGCATAAAACGCAATACAAAAAGTGACGCTATTGCAGAGGACGCACGGGAGGCAGATTATAGTCCTGGTAAGGGTCAAAAGTTGGACTGCTGACTAGCATGACAGAAGGCAGCTCTTTTGCCCTAAACCGCATGACAGACTCGCTTCCAGGACCGGGAAAATTTGTCACGCACCGACTACAAACTGTAGGTCTAACTGGTATCCGTTTTATGCATGGCAAACTATTTCAACTTTGACGATTTTAAACCTGACACATCCATACCCTTTCGCGTACTCGTACTCGAGATATCCCTCGTCGTATAAGAACACAAACCCGCACTATGAGAATGCACAACTCCCCCCCTCATTTGTATGGCATGAACAGCAGTACAAACACCAGTACACGTGTATGCTGTGCATGACAAGTTTATGCACGTACTGTAGTGCTGTTTAGGCTTCCAGAATTTATTGTCATGCAAACAGGGCTACAACGCAGCAGCTGGATTTGGGATTTTGCATGACAAATGAGGGGGAGAGAAAGTTGTGCATATTCCTACGACCACGTACAAAACGATGAGAATCTGGAAGGTGATGTTTGCAATGCCAAGTTTCGCATCGGAGATTTTTACTTCTTGCTTAGTGGCGTAGGACAGCAGCCGGTCCACGTCCTGCTTGAGAAAGTCCATGACAGAATTTTACTTATTTCTGTTGGGGGTTAGCAGGTGTTGCTTTTGCTTGCTGCTCTCTTCCTTGTACTCCTCTAGTTGAACGCTTGATGTCTCCCGCTCCGGTTCTTGAAGGGAGCAGCTAGGTCGTGCACAAGAGGAACGCGAAGGGGAAGCGCAGGTGGGTCATCTTGTTGCTTTAATCATTGGAGTTTAGAATCAGTTGAAATTGCTCTCCTGCGTCTTCTGACTGAGGAGAAGTCAGCGAAGAATTTGTTGCTCTCTGTCTTCACTCTCAGGATGCCACCGAAACAAAAGACAGGTGTGTGTGCGTGTGTCTCATTCCTGATGCTGATCCTGTTAGTTCCTGTCTTGCATTAGCGGCCATGCCACTACAGGCGACTCCCTTGCCCTTCGCAAGATTAATTTCTGCTGCCGCTCGTCTTCCTCTTCGCTCGTGCGTCTAATTTGTTCGAGCCTGGGCATCTTGGTAAAAGATGCTTCTGCAACACAAGAAAAACTGGGGCTGTCTGTAGAACACAAGTGGCGGCCCAACTGTAAGTGGACCAAAAATTAGGCTGCAAGGTTACTTGCATTTCTGTCGATTCATATACACAGATGCAAATCAATTCAATGATACAATCACAGATAATTCCGAGAAGAAACAAGACATACTGTACAAACGTTAAATTACCTGCATTTTTCCAAGGCTCGGAAGCCTTGCGTGTACAGCAACTGCCGCACTAGCTACGCTCGTGGCTACGGTTCTAAAACATTGCGCTGTGAAATGCTACAAAACAAATGAAACTTCCGATTGTCTTAACGATCGACAAATGCTACAAAACAAATGAAATTCATTCTCGCGTGGTCTGATGCTAGTGTTACAGAAACTTAAAGTGGATGTAGTTGTGACATTGCTACAGCTATCATACATTGGAAAAAAACTTCTTCTTCGAAACTTTTTCGATTCACAAGAAACCGAATGAACTGTCGTGACGCGTTTCTCGCTCGACGTCACGTGTAAAATGCTACAAAACAAATGAAATTTTTCAAGAAAAAACTGCTCTCTTCGCTAGCAACAAGTGTGATGTAGGTGCTTACTCTCCCACTGACAAATAACCCCTCCTACTGTTGGGCGCACATCTCTTCGAAGGGCGACGAGTCGTCTGGGGGGTCTGGCTATCAACTGTAAAAATGTCTGGGTCTGGAAGAGTGTTAAACTTGTCATGCAGGTTTTCCGTGACCCATGAGGTCTGAAATGCGGGATCTAGCATGACAGAGTCTGTGAGGTCTCTGCTATGCCTATGCTGCATGAGAAATTCCCTCCCACCTTGGTCGAAAGTGGACAGCTTTTGGCCCTCATGCACCACAGATTTTCGCATTATTCGGACCAGCCATGCTCCGGCTGCCGCCGGAGCGCAAGGCTGTTGGGCCGGGGCAAGACTGTTTGCCGATCGGACCATAATGCCACGGGCCTAATATAATGCACGACGAAACATACTGGAGTCCTGCCGCCTGTTTGCGCCGCGCCAACCCGCAGGGCCACTTGCGCGCTTCCCGCGCCTGTGGGCGCTCTGCGCACGGGGCAGCTGCAAAGAACACCGGGGGCGAACAGAAGCCGCCCGGCGCGAGAGGGTTGCCGTAGCGCGAGAGGGCGGCGCGAGAGGGTGGCGCGAGAGGGTGCGCGAGAGGGTGCGCGAGACGGTAGCGCGAGAGGGTTCGGGCCGGCCTATGCATGAAAAGGCCGCAAAAAAACAGCTCTGCGCCGAGCGGATTCGGGTTTTTTTACCCCTCTCGCAGACCCTCTTTTTCACCTCTTCCGAGAGGTGTTGCTAATAGTCCGGCTATACTCGCCGGTAGAGGTCTACAGAGGTGGCCGAGAGGTGGCCCAGAGGGAGGGTGTGCGGGAGGTTCCTCCTTATTCGCGCAACCTCTCGGCACCCCTGTCCCCCTCTCGCTTACCCTCTCGGGACCCTCTCGGCCACCTCCGGGCCCCATAGGCGCGGCTTTAGGGTGAACGGTTCGGCTGGCTATACCCGCGCCACCTCTCGGCCACCCTCCCGAACGACCTCCCGCGCCACCCCTCCACCTCTGTCGACCTCTTTTGGACCTCTGTCGACCTCTTTTTGACCTCTCGGCCACCTCCCTTAGACCCTCTGTAGACCTCTTTTTTCGCATGAATATAATAGATAGTAATTTAGCATGACAAGTTACATTCTTCCAGACCCAGACATTTTTGCATTTGATACTGGCGACGGCACTCGACCCCCATCGTCTTGCTTCCCGCCGCTGAATTTTCCCTGTTTTCCCTTGCCTTTCTTACCTGGTTTGCCACTGTAGAAATTGAAATCCTTAGAAGTTGTTTTTCCTTCGCCCTTCTTCGTGCCGAGCTTTCTACCCTTTTTCGACATGATCGTACCGCCCTTCATGTCGTCGTAAGAAGCGCCGAAAGCTGCCATTCCATATTCTTGGTCGTAAGATTGTTCCCACTGTTGTCCTGTTTCTACCCAGGTCCCAGATTCCTCGTCCCAGTAAAAATTGTATTGCCCAGCAGAAGCTCCTTCGTGGTCCCAGCCCGTGTTGTAATCTTCATAATTCGCAGTTCCGGCATTTTCCAACCCAAACAGTTCCGGCATGAGAGAGTACACAACGGCCAATCCAAGTCCCGCGACGAGCAAAACGATTAACACGATCACGAAGACCAACCAGCCGGTCGATAAAGAGCCTTTATCTTCTGGCGGTTTTTCCTCTTCTATTTGCGCCGAAATGCTCATCATTTTCTGGTCGATGGTCGTTTTATCCGTGGTCCCAATAGCGGACGGGACCGAGAAGGTGTCTGTCTTGGCCAACTCATTTACGTACGTGTTGTAGATTTCTTGGAGGGATAGGAGCCCACTCGACTGCTGTTGCACCTGTTGCTGCTGCTGCTCCGGGGTCAGTCCGGCCTGTTCCGCCGCAGTTGGAGGCACAATTATTCCATCTGGAGAAGATGTAGGTGTAGTTGAAGCACCAACTGCAGCATCTGCAGCAGCTTGTTCTTTACCTCCGCCTGCTTCCGGCTTCAACAACTTCGAGTAGTAGAATTGTCGGAAATTTTCCAAGTACTTTCTTGTCAGCATGTCATCTATGCAGTGCAAAAGTATCGCACTCCCACTCGTATAAATGCATTACAACTTTCCTCAGTATGAGAAACAAAATTTCTAATGCTGATTTGCCTTAGGGAAAAGATTTGTAATGCATGCTTGCAATACGAGTACGATACTTTTGCACAGGATATCATCCTCGCGCCAGCAATGGTCCATGATTGCCAAGTCGGCCTTGGTATCAAGTGCAAAAATGTCTGGGCCTGGAAAAGTGTAAACTTGTCATGCGGATTTTCCATGACCCATGAGGTCTGGAATGCGGGACTTAGCATGACAGACTCTGCGAGGTCCCTGCCATGCCTATCCTGCATGAGTAACTCCCTCCCAACTTGGTCAAAAGTGGACAGCTTTTGGCAACCATGCAACACAGATTTTTGCATGCTTCAGACTTACCATGACAAGTCGCCACCTTCCAGACCCAGACATATTTGCAATGCATACTTGGCATGCTCAACGTTCCCCTTGTACTGAAACTCTTTCGCAAAAGCGAGGATGTAGGGCAGTTTCGGCTGCAAACCCACGGCTTCGGTCAGCAAGGAAACCTTTTTTGTCGTGGTGCCCACCTTATTTTTCGTCTTTTCACTTGTCTGCAGCTCTTTTGAGACAGTACTGGCGCGACTGGCTTGTGATGCAACGGCGTGGTCAGTAGCCGCGGTGGCGACCTTTATTTTTTTGTCCTCTTCTTTATTTTCGACAAACGAACTTGATGCGCCGCTGGTGCTGGACGAGCTGTTATTTTTCACAGGCGAAAAAACAGGGTCACCAAGAGCAGCCGTATTTGTTGTATCATCCTTGTCATGATCATTCAACAACAGCTCCTTAAACTCCATCTTCCCCCACGTTTCGTGAAAATTCAAACTTGTCCTGCTTCTCACCGACTGGTGAACCTCCTTCGTGAAGTCCTTCAGCTTTCCCAAGTCCCGCTTCAGCCGCTGCGTTAACTCCAGGAGCGACCACGGCTGTTTATCCATTCGGTTTCGCTCTCCTTGTTCATCTGGTGGTTTTAGTAACTCTTGCCGGTTTTGTCCCTGCTCTTGGTGCGATGCAGGAAAAGATGAAGCTGCTATTCTTTTTGCAACTTCTTGTCCACTCTGTCCTTGCTTCTGGTTGTTCGGCGGTGAAGATGAAGTTGGTGATACTACTCCTAGCTCTGGTTCTTGTGCTGCTGCCAGCCCCCCAGTGTTGTCAAAGGCTTCCAGATCGGTTTTCGCAAGTGATTCCGGACTCGATGTGTGAGTTGTCGAGTTCGTAGCGGAGAAAAACGACGCGGCCGCTGCACTAGCAGACGTAGCGGCAGAAACACCTGGCATTCTTATCACGCTTCGCTCTATGACTTGATCCTGCTGCTCCTCTACATGTTCCGGTGGCGGGGCTACAGTCTGTAGTTCCCCTTTCTGCTCTTGCTGGTGCTCGAAATGCGCCCGAGCTTCCTCTTCCATCACGGTTTGCGTTACTTTTTCTTCGTCGTACCCCGCTTCCATCGTCAGCTCCGCGTTTGCCAACGTTTTGATCACGAATTTCGGAAACCCAGCGTATTGGAAAATCGACAGACCCGGGTACAGCCTGGCTGTCATGCTGTCCGCAAAGGAAATCTGCCCGTTCCCGCTCTCCGCCATGTACCGATCCGCGCACTGCACGAAGAGCGACACCTTCGGCTTGTGACTCAAACAAGCCTCGATCTATGAAGTGTAAAAATGTCTGGGTCTGGAAGAATGTCAGATTTGTCATGCAGCTTTTCCATGACCCGTGAGGTCTGGAATGCGAGACCCAGCATGACAGATTCTTTGAGGTCTCTATCATGCCGTTCCTGCATGAGCAACTCCCTCTCAACTTGGTCAAAAGCGGACAGCTTTTGGCACTCACGCAACACAGATTTTTGCATCATTTAGATTTAGCATGACAAGTTCCAATCTTTCAGACCCAGACATTTTTACATTTGATACGATCTCGTGCATGCCAATGTCGTGCGGGAAGCTGCACCGCGGGTGGGATTCTATCCTGAGTAAAAACGTCCCCACACCAGAGTTGTCATGCAGATTTGCAATGACAGGAACATTTGTAATGCGCATCGCCAGGAGAGGCATTTTTAGTCGTGTTTTGGAATTACTATCTAAACTGCAGCAGCTGGTCAAAAATGCAGGTGAGGGGTATGCTCGGGGGTATGTTCGGGGGTGTGTCAGGGGTATGCAAATGCTCCTCAATCACGAGCGGACTGCAATTTTTTGCCGAAAAGCCAACAGGTGGGGTATAAACATACCCCAGACACACCCCAGACACACCCCAGACATACCCCAGACAGACCCCCGAACATACCCCAGGCAAAAAGTCCGAACATACCCCAGACACACCCCGGGCAGACTTTCGGACACACCCCGGGCAGACTTTCGGACACACCCCGACCAAATTTTCGGACTTTGTCACGTGAGGCTTGGACCCGAAGTCCAGTCTGTCACGCGAGACCGTGCGGCCAAGGGGCGAAAGCCCTAGGCCAGCGCGGGGTCTCGGTCCCCGCGTCATGGCCTAGGGGCCAGCTGTGGGCGCTTCCCGGACAGACACCGTGCGGCCAAGGGGCGAAAGCCCTAGGCCTGCGTGGGGACTCGGTCCCCGCGTCATGGCCTAGGGGCCAGCTGTGGGCGCTTCCCGGACACCGTGCGGCCAAGGGGCGAAAGCCCTAGGCCAGCGCGGGGACTCGGTCCCCGCGTCATGGCCTAGGGGCCAGCTGTGAGCGCTTCCCGGACACCGTGCGGCCAAGGGGCGAAAGCACTTCCTAGGCCAGCGCGGGGACTCGGTCCCCGCGTCACGGCCTAGGGGCCAGCTGTGAGCGCTTCCCGGACACCGTGCGTCAAAGTAGGCCAGCGTGGGGACTCGGCCCCCGCGTCATGGCCTAGGGGCCAGCTGTGAGCGCTTCCCGGACACCGTGCGGCCAAGGGGCGAAAGCCCTAGGCTAGCGCGGGGACTCGGTCCCCGCGTCATGGCCTAGGGGCCAGCTGTGCCGGAGCGCTTCCCGGGCACCGTGCGGCAAAGGGGCGAAAGCCCTAGGCCAGCGCGGGGACTCGGTCCCCGCGCCATGGCCTAGGGGCTAGCTTGCGGGCAGCACTTCCCGCGAATCCGTGCGGCCAAGGGGCGAAGGCCCTAGGCCAGCGCGGGGACTCGGTCCCCGCGTCATGGCCTAGGGGCCAGCTGTAAGCGCTTCCCGGACACCGCGCGGCCAAGGGCGGGGCGAAACCCCTAGGGCAGCGCGGGGACTCGGTCCCCGCGCCATGGCCTAGGGGCTAGCTCGCAGCACTTCCTGTGACCCCGTGCGGCCAAAGGGCGAAAGCCACCCCTGCCTAGGCCAGCGCGCGCGGGGACTCTGCCCCCGCTGCATTGCCTAGGGGCCAACTGCGAGCGCTTCCCGGGCACCGTGCTGCCAAGGGGCGAAAGCCCTAGGCCAGCGCGGGGACTCGGTCGGTCCCTCCCCGCGCCATGGCCTAGGGGCCAGCTCGCTGCGAGCGCCCGCCGGCGAAACCGTGCGGCCGAGTTAGGGGCGAAAGCCCTAGGCCAGCGCGGGGACTCGGTCCCCGCGTCATGGCCTAGGGGCCAGCTGTGAGCGCTTCCCGGGCACCGTGCGGCCAAGGGGCGAAAGCCCTGGGCCAGCGCGGGGACCCGGTCCCCGCGTCATGGCCTAGGGGCCAGCTGTGCCGGAGCGCTTCCCGGACACCGTGCGGCCAAGGGGTGAAAGCCCTAGGCCAGCGCGGGGACTCGGTCCCTGCGCCATGGCCTAGGGGCTAGCTTGCAGGCAGCACTCCCCGCGAATCCGTGCGGCCAAGGGGCGAAAGCCCTAGGCCAGCGCGGGGACTCGGTCCCCGCGTCATGGCCTAAGGGCTAGCTAAGAACACTCCCCGGACAGCACACCGCGCGGCCAAGGATGGAAGGCGCAGAGAAGGGCCCTAGGGAAGTGCGGGGACTCTGTCGCCGCGTCATGACCTGGGGGCCGGCTCCAGACCCGGCGCGCGCCAGTTTCTTCTTTTTCTTTGCGCGCGGCCGGCTAATGAGTCTAGTGTAGTGCGCGCAAGCAAGGGGGCCGCGTCCGCAGGCCCGTCGCGGGCCAGTGAACGCAAGGCGCACCGAGATACCTAGCTGCAGGCGACCTGCCTTCCCAGTGCCACCGCGCAGACAAATGCCGGAAGGTCGCCGCACGGGGACTCTGTCCCCGTGCTCGGACCTTGTTTGTAATGCTGTAAACAGGATGAGCAGATGGATTTCTGATGCAGCTGGCCTTGCGAACCTGCACTACACTACGGACTGCAACTTGTGTTGCGTGACCCCCAAAAGTTCTAGGTTTGTGTTGCAAATTCCCCATCTTGACTCTGGTGTGGGGATGTTTTTACTCAGGATAGACTCCTGGTAAGTTTTGTCACTGCTGAAAATTCCCCCCACAGCTAACTCCTTCCCGGGGTGAAAGCCGCAACAGTTGAAGCTGCTTGGCACCCGTTTCGGGTTTCCGAACCGTTTGTGCGCCTCGCAGATATCCGTGCCCGCTTTCATCCGCTTTACGTGCATGTTGCTGAAGTCGGTTGCTTCCTGAGGCAACGAGTGCAAATTTGCGTCTTGTTTGCTGTCCCCGCAACAGCTCTCGGTTTCTAAAGAGGACGGCTCCTCTTTCACTTTCGCGGCCCCGTTCTCAATCTGGATCTTTTCTGCGCCTTGGCTCGCCTCCCCGGGAAGACCGGGGAGACCCTTCGGTGCTTTTTCATCGATCACCGGCTCTTCCTCATTCAGCATGTTCCGTCCCATGGAGCCGGGGAGCGCCATCTTAGTACCCATTTTCATCCCCTTCATGGCCATGCCCCCGCCGGGAATCATGCTGCCGATGTTAATCATGTTCTTGCCGACGTCGCGAAAGTTGGTGCCCATCCCGAGCCAGCCCTTGTCCTCCTTGTAAAACTCCACATCGCCGTTCTTCACTTTTTCCGCATACGCTAACAGATCCAAGTGCACCTCCGCCGGCATGTCCTTCATGCACATTTCGTTCAACGCCTTCTCGTGCGCCGCGGTCCGCTCCCACGACTTGCCCACTTTGATCTTGATCGACTCCTCGACTTTCTCCTTATACGATTTTTGGTACGCCACGCACTCGTGTCGGTGGCAGCCGCCAATTTTCCCGTCGCAATTGCCGATGCGGCCGGAGTTCCACACACCGGAATTGTCGTCCCCGAAGATCGGGCCGCTGATCTTCTTCCAGACACCCTTCGCGACGTTTTCCAGCCGCGGAAACCCGTCGCATTCCCCTTCGTTATCCTCAGTAAAAACGTCCCCACCCCAGAGCAGTTGTCATGCAACTGCGCAATGACAGGGACATTTGCAATGCGCAGCGCCATGAGAGGCATTTATTCCAATCGTGTGTTGGAATTTGTAATGCTGTAAACAGGATATAGAAAGTGGCTTTCTCATGCGGCTTCCCTTGCATAGCAGCACTACACTGCAGAGGAAAACTTGTCATGCACAGCTCCCAAAACTTTGAGATTTGTGTTGCTAAATTCCCAACTTGATTATGGGGTGTGGGGGCGTTTTTGCTGAGGATATTCGTCCTCGTTTCTCCGACAACAAATCCCGTTGCCCATCAAATGCAAATATGTCTGGGCCTGGAAGATTGCGAGACTTGTCATGCTGGTCTGGCATGCCTCAGCACTCTGTATTGCGTGGCCACCAGGAGGTCCTCTTGCCTGTCACACAAAAGCGCAGTTTCTCATGCAAAAAACGCAGCACAGGAGCACGAAAAAACTTGTCATGCTTGGCGGCGCATTACATACAGAGCACGTCTTGTTCACGGACTTGCATCACAAGTTTCCGGACCCAGGATCAGACATATTTGCAATGCATATTACCGCACTTGTCACAAAATCCGCCCATCTGGCACTCCTTGTCGCCCGACTCAAAGCAGTCGTCGACTCCGTCGGTGATTATCTCCTGGATATTCGGGACGCAAACGTGTTCCCCCGCGCCGCCAAAATCCCCCGTGCACGCCCCCTCGGTCACCCCGTGGCGGCAGCAAATCCCCTTGTGCTGGTCGTTTTCGTCGGGCGACTTGTTGCAAAAATTGCACTTCGACCCCCCGTGCTGGCAGTGCTGCAAACTCGTGGAGCCGGTGCCGAGAAAGGCTTCGGTTTTCTCCACAATAACCCCCAGGTCGACATTCACGTCCTCACCGGTGAAGGTCGATCCGATGGTGTTCGCCATTTTCTCCATCGGCTGGAGTATGGTGCCCTTTGAGGTTTTGTACACCCCGTCGGTGAAACATTCAAAACCGTAGTTTTTCATTTGCGAAACCTGGACTAGGAACTTGTCCGGCGGCTCGAAGCGAGATGCCGAAGCAACATCTTTGTCGTCTTTTCTTCTTCTCTTATTTCTACGTGTCGTTGCTTGCTTTTTCTTGCGCTGTTGTAGCTCTTCTTGTTCGAGTACCTTCTCCTGTTGCAAAAATGCGTCCGCTGTTTCGTCTGGGGGTATCAAATGTAAAAATGTCTGGGTCTGGAAGAATGCCAGACTTGTCATGCAGGCTTTCCATGACCCGCGAGGTCTGGTATGTAGGACATAGCATGACAGATTCTGTGAGAGTTCTTGTTCTATCATGCCTACTCTGCATGAGAAACTAGCTCTCGATTAGGTCAAGTGTGGACAGCTTTTGGTAATCATGCAACACAGCTTTTTACATGATTCAGATTTAGCATGACAAGCCGCTTTTTTCCAGACCCAGACATTTTTGCATTTGATAGGGGGCATGTTTTCCTGATTCCGCTTCAACTGTTCCTGGAGCCATTTCTCGTGTTCCGACAGTCCCTCCTTCTCCTCTTCCACAACGACCTTCCGATCCACCAACACGACCACCAATTGCCGCGGCGTCCAGGGTGGTAAGGTCGAGTTCCCGGGGACCGCCTCTTGTGCCGCTTCCACCTTGATTTTCCATTCCTTATTCTTTTCCTCCAGCACCGCGGGGTCGCAGAACCCCGCGACGTGGGAAAGCGTGTTGAGGTTCTCGTCCCGTGTATCGGACCGGACCTCCGCCGTGTCTTCGTTCCCGTTGATCGACACGACGATCTCGTAATTTTCGTTTTTCAACCAGCAATACTGTCCGTGGTAGTGGAAGGCCTTGCAGCCGCCCGTGGTGTCCTTTATGTCCGCGGAGACGAACCTTTCACACCGGTGCTGGCAGTTCCTCGCAGTTTCCGTCATTTGCCCATTCCTGCCCGGCTTGACAAACGCGCTGTCGGGTAAATTTCCCTTAAGCAGCGCCGTGCCCTCCAGATAGGAGCAAGACCGGACCTTCTTCCCGACGGTCGCTTGGTACGCGGCTTCGGCAGAATCCAGTTGCTGCTGCTGCTGCTGGGCGGGCGTTGTTGTACTTGGCTCTTCCGATTTCTGATTCTTTTCACGCTGTTCTTTCGATCGCTGCGACGTGCTCGCTTCACTTTCTTCAAGGTGACGCTGCGCTTCGCTTTGCCGCTCGTGTAGTTCTTGCATTTTTTTCTTGTCCTCAGTTGTCACAAAGGCAGATTGGTCGTGTGACAATCCTTGCGCTGCAGTGCTATTCCCCATCCTGCCGGCTGCATCATCCTCTAGTTGGTTGCGGTGGTTGTGCAACTGCACTTCCGTGACCACACTGGTGGCATGATCATGACTGGCGGTGTTGTTCAACATGATTTTTCGGTGGTGCTTTCCGGTGTTGGCATCAACATCAAGCGGTGCTGATGATGTTGCTTCCCCTATTTCTTGTTCCGTTTTCGTGGTCAAATTTTCCTCCTGCTGCGAAAAGCTGCTGCCGCTAGAACTAAGCATATCTCTTCTTTCTCTCACCGCAATCGCTTTTTATTGAGAGGAAAAATCACCCCTCCCCATATTGAAAACGCATTCGTCTGAAAATTTGTGATGCAGATTTGAGGCCACAAATCCCGTCTGTCTTGCAAGAAGGCAAAGCCAGAGAGTCCGCCGCGTCATGCCGGCGGTTTGTGATGCTCTTGGGCTTACAGAGCCGACATCTGTCACGCTAGTCCCCTACGTCAAAACCCCTCGAACCAGGCTTGGCATATGCCTGCAGTCTTCCCCAGCAAGACAGACCTGATTTGTGTACGCAAATCGAGCATCAGAAACTTCGTTTCGATATGGGGAGGGGGGATTTTTCCCTTTGATACTTTTCGCTGCTCCTTCAGAAACGTTCTCCACGACTGCATCGTGTTCTTCACGTTTGCTTTCCCCCAAGCGCCGAAACTTGCTAAGCTAGAAGTACCAGCCCACATCCTTCTGGTCGGGCCGGTGACCTCTGTGCTCCTGTCAGCCGAATTTAGGACTTTCGCCTGAGCTTCCTGCATATCAACTGTAAGAATGTCTGGGTCTGGAAGAATGCAAGTTTGTCATGCTGATTTTGGATTCTAAAAAAATCTGTATTGCATGAGCAGCAAAGGGAGTCCAAGTTTTGCTACACGGGAAGAGCATTTGTCATGCGGTATGGGCATCAGGAAGCCCTCACAAAATCTGTGATGCTAGGGCATGCATCACAGACATCAGGAGTCATGCAAAATGTGCATGACAAACCTGGCAATCTTCCAGACCCAGAGATTTTTACATTTGATACTGCACTTTTTGCACGAACGAGCTGGCACTAGAGATTATCGAAGCTCTCTTGACCTCGGTCTCCTCTGCTATCGCCCCCGCCCCGTATCCACTGCAAAAATATCGCACTCGTATAAATGCATTACAAATTTCCTCAGCATGAGAAATAAATATAAAATTTGTAATGCGAATTTACCTTAAGGAAAAGATGTGTAATGCATGATTGCAATACGAATACGATACGTTTGCACAGGATACCCCGCCCTCCAGCACGATTTCCCGGCCCCCCAGCTGCCGCAGGTTTACCTGCCGCATGGAAGCGAACGAAGCGAGCGACACCGCCGGGCAATATCCCAGAGAAAAAAGCAGGCTGTAATGCAAAAATGATTACACAGAAAAATCTGTCATGGGCGGCCCTATAGCTTGCTGTTTAGGCTACGCAATGCAGATTTTTTACTGTATGCATTTTTGCATTACAAATGTGACCTGCCTGCTTTTTTCTGTGTGATAGGCAACCGCCGTAGATCAAGATCGGGCTAGTGCCGTAGTCTTGCTCGCTGAAGCGGGTCAAGAGCCAGGGGATTTCCAGAATTTTCGCCACGTTGCGCTCTTCAGCTGTGAACGTGTCCGCGTGGAGGTCAGCGTCTTTATGTTCCTGCTCAGCCTCTTTACTATTAGTTTCCATCGGTTTTATCGCCGCGTTACATGGATTGTAAAAATGTCTGGGTCTGGAAGATTAGCACTTGCAATGCTAGCTTTCCATACCTAGAAAATCTGTATTGCATAACTAACAAAAGTCGCAGCCTCTTCTGTCATGCAAAAACGCAGTTTCTCATGCGCATTGCCTATGAGAAAGCGTTTTGGGAAGTTGTCATGCCGGACTGCATTCGGAAGTGTTTTCATCATGCACATTTTAGCATCACAAGTTTCCAGACTCAGACATTTTTACATTTGATACGTTAGCATCTGCAGCAACGACATCTCTCCGCGCATTGCTCTCTATCGACAAGTGTTCATAGAGCATGTGGTGGACCTTATCAAGTGTAAAAGTGTCTGGGTCTGGAAGAATCCAACTTGTCATGCTGATTTTGGATTCTAAAAAAATCTGTATTGCATGAGCAGCAAAGAGAGTCCAAGTTTTGCTACACGGAAAGAGCATTTGTCATGCGGTATAGGCATCAGGAAGCCCTCACAAAATCTGTGA